TTTTATATTTTGTAGCTGAACCACTTTGTGTTCGCTGGTTATTCTGTTTGTCTGAAGGTCAGATCAGCAGCAGTGAATACTCTGATCATTCTTCAGGTCTTGCATTAGGATGGAGCGTTGAAATGAAAGTGGATGATGACTCAGTCTCTCCTCATAAATGTGGAAGAAGCTGATTTAATTTAAACCAGCAGCTTCACACTGAGAGGCTGCAGCCGAGCGGACGCCTGCTGAAAGAGAGAGAGAGAGAGAGAGAGATTTATAAAAGACAGCTAGACAGATTGAGTTCAAGATAACAACGTGTATTATTTGGATGTGGACTGAAGCAAACGTGGAATAGATGTGCAGATGGGCTTATGATTTTTAAGAGATTTCTTGTGGTAAGAAATGCGATGATGCAAGTCTTGATTAAGATAAACATTGGCCATGGTTCAGTCTGCTTGAATGTTGGCAGCGTTTTACATCGATGCATTTTCTTGTCAAGAGGGGAAAAGCTCTGAGCCAGCGAGATAAGTATCAGTTAGAAAGGATGGATTTGCACCATGGCTCAAAATCAAGCTTTTATGCAACACTCCACACTCAGGAGGTTAAAGAGGCCCTACTCTGCTTTTAAGGGTTTTTCATTTCATTTCCTGTAGTGTGATTTTAGTGCATGTAAATCCCTGAGTTTCTTGAACCTGTAAATTAGCATATATGTCCTCTTCAATAGTGTTTTATTGTCAGAATAAAATCCAGTTTTCCCTTTTTATTGCTCACTTTTCCCATCTTCTTGTTGGTTGTTCTTTCTCTCTGAAGGCTATTTCTCCTCCCTCTCTCTCTCTCTCTTCGTCTCTCTCTCCTCTCTCTCTCTCTACGGCCTGTTTGTGAGGCCGTTCACATCTCATCAGACGTTAAGGCCACAGAGGCAGGCACTACTGATAGTGTGTGGTGGTTGTGTGTGTGTGCTGTGTATGTAGTATTGGGTTGTGGTGTGGTGTGTGTGTGTTGTGTGGTGTGTGTGGGTGTGTGTGTGTGTGTGTGTGTGTGTGTGGTGTGTGTAGTGTGTGGTGTGTGTGTGTGTGTGTGTGTGTGTTGTGTGTGGGTGTGTGTGTGTGTGTGGTGTTGTGTGGGTGTGTGTGAGTAGTGTGTGTGCTGTCGTGTGGTTGTGTTGTCGTGTGTGTGTGTGTGATGTGTGTGTGTTGAGTGTGTTGTGTGTGTGTGTGTGTGTGATAGTGTGTGTGTGGTGTGTGTGTGTGTGGTGTGTGTGTGTGTGTGGTGGTGTGGCTGTAGGTGTGTGTGTGTGTGTGGGTGTGTGTGTGTGTGTGTGTGTGTGTGGTGTGTGTGTGGTTGTGTGTGTGTGTGTGTGTGTGGGTGTGGTGTGTGTGTGTGTGTGTGTGTGTGTGTGTGGAGAGGGGGAGATTTAGCAAGAAACGAGAGCCAAGAGAGAGACCCGACACACAAGCTGTTTTCACTTGAAATAAGTTCACAAATCTGCCAATAGAGCAAGTGAACATGTGCTTGGTAACATTTCGTGAAATAAGAAGGGATATTTAGATAAATCACATCTTGTAATTAGCTGGGAGAATTAATTTGGAATTATATTTCACCAGAATCAGGAAATGTTGTGTTACAATATAAGTCGCAAATACTCAAAAGTGTTTCTGTGTTCTGATGCTAGTTGGTGATTTTCTAATAAATATGTAAAAAAAATATGTGTTTCATCTGAGATACAACTCAAAATAACATTGTTTGACCTAACAAGATGATGCATTGTCTAAAAACAAGACCCTGTATCTCACTGCGGTGTCACTTCTGAAGTTATTATGTCTTATATCAGGAGTACATATTCTGACATTAGATATTAGACTCAGATATTTGGCAAGATTTAGATTTGTTGTCGTGCAGAGAGGCAGAAATGTTTCAAGTGACGGATGAAAAGAGGAGAGAAATGTTGATGTGATGGAGGTAGACGAGTGGATGAAGATAGAACAGCGAGGAGTTGTTGTTGTGCTTCCTTTGTGATGTGAACAATCAGACATGCTGCATGTGACGGGAGCTTTTATTTAGTGCACTTATGAAACTCCTAAAACCATGAGAAACACGAACAAAGACTTTAAAAGAATATCCGGTTCAAACCATTTTGTCACCAGATGGAGATAAATGGAGGATGTTAAAGGATTACATTTTAAACTGTAAACTGGGGAGAACAGGGGGGGAGGCAGGATGAGGAGAGGAGGGGGTAGGATGTGTTTCTGATAAACAACGTGACAGAGAATAAGAGGAGGAGGATGGGGGGAGAAGGGGAAAAGATAAACAAACAAACTGCGAGTCTGTAGTCATTAGACGGGTGAAACAAACAACTCAGATATTTCCCCAGATCTTCAGTTTAAAGGCGAGTCGTTGCAAACACAGCCTCATGATGTTGGCTGTCACTGTTAATAATGCACAGCGCCGTTTGTAATACAGCTCGCATTCCACTTAACATGCATATGCTTTACTTATTCCTGCTAATTACTGCTTTTTTCTTGCACCATCTTATGCACTATTGTATGTATTTACTTTTCTGTAAGTAGTGTGTATGTTGCATTGTTGAAGGGGCAAAAAACGTAAGGTGTTAATTGCAAACAACTACACTGAATCTTGCATTACGACCATGGTAAATGATATTATTTGAGCTCTTTACCAGCACTGAACAAAAAGATAATTCATGCAAACTGGGTCAGTAAACAATATTTGATGTTGTGTAGCCAATTAGCTTTCTAATTGGCTCATTTTGTTTAGAGTTTCCTTTTATTTTAAGCTGCAACCCATCCCATGAGCTACATGGTAATACTATGTGTGTAGGCATGCCTTTAATGCAGGTTATCATGAGACGTCCATGGGCTGCTGGTTAGCATGCCACATGTAATCAATCACAATCAATGTGCAGAATTAGCATGACACAATGCTAACCTGTAGCGTTTCAGTGCTGGACTCCCTCTGGAAAACACAGGGATTTGAGCCTCTGCAGACCCTTTACATGCACTGAAACCTATAGAACACTACAGGAAAGGGAACACACAAAAGAGCACAAGAGGGCCTCTTTAAGGTCTTGGACTGACTTTCTATCCTTCGCCTGTCACTCTCGGCTGTTCTTTGAGTTAAATGCTAGCGTGACGTGCAGCTAAACAACTGTTCAAACACAGCTTTGTTGTCTGCAGCAGAAACAGGCGAGAAGCAGAGAGCTGATCTGCTCCAGAAAGAAGGACAAGAGAGAAGCTAGTGCACATATGGTGGCTGGTGCAAGGTGTGAGAGAAAAAGGAAATACGTTGCTTTCTGTTCCAAATCCTTCTGTGCTAGAGCAGCAGGGGTCTTTCACAGAGCACAGCTTCATGAAGGGCATTCAGGCAGCGAGGAACACAAAGACAGTCACGTGACAACAACAAGAAGGAGGCTGTTCTGCTTTTCGCTGGGCTGGCATTTTAAAGATCAGGGATAATGACATTACAGAGAGCATGTGGAGTCTGCAGAGGAAAGGTTCTGTGCTCTGAAACTGCTGATCACTGATATGATGGGATGGTTATTGTGCAGTTCTTCAACTTTCAAGGCTTTTATTGTCATGTGTACATCGCTGTAGTTATGACAATGAACATCTTAGGCTCCTCCAACACAGATACAATAGTACAGGAAAATAAAATAGAATATAATAGAAATAGTGCAGAATAGTCTATATACAGTAATTGGAATATGATGAGTTGCAAACAGATGAATGTTATGGGTGTTCTTTCCAAAGAGCAGGTGTTACACAGTCTTTTCTGTGTTCATTCATCTGTTATCCCTTTTATCTTTGCTGGTGTTTTTCCCGTCGTGTCGTTTCGATATAGAGATATTCAGGCAGGTATCTCATCAAAGTTACATTTTGGTATTGTGACAAACGACCTCAGGCGTCGACATCCAGACGTTTATTGCTTCGTATGAGAAAAGGATATATTGCAGTTTCAAATAATAAAAGTTGCTCCAGGTAAAATATATTATAAATGACAGAGAATGACTTTAAAAGTTAAATTTCGATTCACAGAAATCCTGCAGGGAACATATCTGGTGTGTGAATATGATAAAACCCGGTGTAAAGTAACTAAGTACATTTACTCAAGTACTTTCTGAGGTACTCAACTTAAGTATTTCAATGTTTCACTACTTTGTACTTCTACTCCACTACATGTATTTAATACCTTTAGTTACTTCACAGATCTGGATGAATGATGTGAAATCTAATCAAGTGTTAAATCAGACTTTAGTTCCACCTGGAGTAAATCCACAAGCTACCCTGCAGTATACAAAGTCATTCAAACTAGCTGCACCTTTACCAGCTTTGAGAACACTTTCATGATCAATCATTATAAAACATATCATATATATTATTCTGAAATGGACCAATCTGCACAATGACTACTTTTACTGTCGCTACTTTAACTATATTTTGATGATAATACTTTCCTACTTTTACTTGAGGAACATTTTGAATGCAGGACTTTTACTGTAACAGAGTATTCCTACACTCTGGTACTTCTACTTTTACTCAAGTACAAGATCTGAGTACTTCTACTTTTACTCAAGAACAAGATCTGAGTACTTCTACTTTTACTCAAGAACAAGATCTGAGTACTTCTACTTTTACTCAAGTACAAGATCTGAGTACTTCTACTTTTACTCAAGTACAAGATCTGAGTACTTCTACTTTTACTCAAGTACAAGATCTGAGTACTTCTCCCTCCTCTGGATGAAACTCCTGGAATGATAAATAATAATACATGGGATTTTTATAGTGCTTTTCCTAATGCTCAAAGACATGATGATAAATGATCAGCCACTGAACCCATTAAAGAACCGATGACTCGTCAGTTTTTAATAATAACTTTAATAATAATAATAATACATGACACTTATATAGCGCTTTTATAAAAACTCATAGACGCTTTGACAGAGAGTAACGGCAAGAACCGATGACTCATCAGTTTTTTGACGCCCCCCTCCCTCTCGTCAGGCCCAGCTGGAGGCCCAGAGCTCCACTCAGGACTTCCAGAGAGCGTCGGAGGTTCTTCGGGCGGCGAAGGAGACGATCTCTCTGGCGGAGCAGCGCCTCCTGGAGGAGGACCACCGGCAGTTTGACTCCGCCTGGCAGGAGATGCTGAACCACGCCACGCAGAGGGTGAGGAAACCAGAGGGAGTTCAGTTGGCTGATTCATATATTTGTTGTACATTATTTTCCTATATTTCGATATTTTTTGCTCTTAAAGGTCACCTATCATGGTGTTTTTCGGCATATATTATGGGTCTCAGATATATAAAAATATATAAAAAACATGTCTATGATGTGTTTTGCTCAAATACCAAACATGCATTTTAGACATCCCTCATATCCCTCTGTTTCAGCCCTGTTGACCATATCACGTCCAAAACACGTCTCATTGTTTCTGATAGCAACGTTTCTGATTGGCCCGTGAGTGTAAAGCCCGCCCACATTTCCGATATTACGTCATATCGGACGCAAATCTGGATCAGCTCCGTTGTTCCCCCGTTTTTAGAGATTTGGGTACGGAGGAAAAGAGAGAGGGTTTATTTTCTGACACTGTGAGTTCCCTGACACACCGGGGACACGTATTTTTTTCCAAAAAGTGCATTTTGCATGATAGGAGACCTTTAATCCGTTTTTATTTCATTATTGCTTGCTCAAAACAGAGGGAGTTTAGTTAGCTGATGAATATTTTTGTTGTTCATTATTTTTGTCTATATTTCAATATATTGTATGTGTATATTTATGTCTTAATATTTTGCATTCTGTTTTATGTTAATCCGTTTTTATTTCATTATTGCTTGCTCACTTATTTTACACGTGTCACCCTTTTTTTACACTGCGATGTGAAGTCAATGGGACACTTAAAAGACTAAATATGTATAATATATTATGTAATGGGATTGATTGGCTGATGCTGAGTTCTGATTGGCTGTCACAGGTGATGGAGGCGGAGAATACCAAGACGAGGAGCGAGCTGGTGCACAAAGAGACGGCGGCCAAATATACGGCGGCCATCAACCGCATGAAGCAGCTGGAGAAAAAACTAAAACGCACCATCAGCAAGTCCAAGTAAGTGTCTGCTGTCCCACTGCCAGCGAACACATCACGGCTTAATGATTGTTAATAATGAGGCAGAGAGAAAAAAGCACTTACCCCTAGATTCCACCGGGTCCGTCTGCGCCGCGTTACGGCTGCGCCGCGGTTTTGGTCCGGCCTCCTCCGGCGTCATACCCTACCAGGCGCGTTTCAGAAGCATTTCAGAAGCGGAGCGTCTTGCCTGCCGGCTCGCAGTTTTTGTTGATTTGGGCATATTTCCTGGACAGGCTACTTTGTACAGACAAAGTTAATAAAAACTGTAATATTCCAGTTATAAACGACATGAATCAAAGATGTGTTGCTGTATTTTAGTGGTAAAAAAATGCATTCATCATCATAATTATTCTATATATATAATTTACACAGTGCCTGTAAACCGGAGGAGAACGCTGGCATTTCTCCTCCTACTTGAAAGACTACGGAGGGATAGGGTCTGCAAAATTAGTTTGTGTGTGTGTATATATCTATATATATATGCTATATATGCTCTGAAGGTTCCACTTCCTGCCTGCCCGACCTTACGTTACGGCTGCGCCGCGACAAAAATAGGATTCATCCTAATTTTAGAGGAGCCCTGCGCCGAGCCGCTTCTGGGACGCTTCTGGGACGCTTCTGGGACGCTTCTGGGACGCTTCTGAGCCGTAACGCGCCGCGTGTGGTGGAATAGCACCCATTGACTAGAGTGGCCGCGATCGCCGCGATCGCCGTGAGCACCGCGGCGCAGCGGTAACGCGCCCGTAACGCGCCCGTAACGCGCCCGTAACGCGCCGCAGACGGACCCGGTGGAATCTAGGGGTTAGGCAGCTGAGAGCATTTTCACCTGTAACACCTGGTTGTTTTGGGAGATTAAGGGCCACTTTATAAAAGAGAAAAACACTTTTGGAAATCTAGAGAATAAACGTTAGGACAAGTGAAGAATTTCTATTACTTTGTATTTTTTACTAAGAAATGTTCTCTTATTTGACAATTTGATGTATTGTTTTCAGGTGATCAAAGATCAGCTCAAAATGGTATGCCTTTTTTTGTAAAACAGCGATTTAAAAAAATTGATTTTTATCCTCAAATGATGGAGACGTTACGTGAGCTGTGATAACACATTATCTTACTTCCAAAAAAGCGTACGTTTATATAAGATTTGACTCTTTAACATGCTGTTGTATCAGAGTTTTTTAACTAGCTAAAAGTCTTCCTTATGAAGTATTTGTTTCGTAAAAATGCATCTTCCTCTCCTTATATTAAGCTTCCTCTGTAAAATAAATATGACCTTTTTTAACATTAAAGCCTGTAAAATGGGCCCCTTTAAGTCTTACATTTTGTATATACAAATTATCAAGGAGTTAACCTCAAAATCCTATTTAAAAACTAAAGTTTAGCCCAAATAGTCAAGCGTATTCCAGGGTTAAAAGAAGGCTATTCTGGGTCTTTAGGAAATAAATAATCTACTTTATCTAAGTATTCATTTTAAATCACTCAATGGAGATTATATTTTCAGCTTCCTCTGGATTTCTTTTAGGACTTATTTTACTGTCACAGCGAGGTGTCGACAACAACGCGACATATCTATTGTCCTGTTTACATTAAAACACAGACACTTGACGATTGTTGTCCAGAAACTTGTCTCCGTTCTGTATTGAAACCCTGTTGTGAAGTGAAACTGTGTTTGTTACTTTTTGAGGTTTCTGGTTTTCTGAACGTCACATCCAGCTGTTCGGCCTGACGTGGTCGGATCAGCTTTCAGCACCGGATCGGTTTATAAGAGCAGGTTTCTCTTCTCTATTCCTCTGAAAGAAAGTGGTTTCTCCCTGAAGCAGAGAAACTAAACCACTTCTACCTGTGTGTGTATTTCATTTGAAACAGTCAGGTGTTGATGGGGAAGTCTGGGTTAATCTGGACTCTCACAATGTGATGTCCTCCTGCAGTTTCACTAGTTTAAGGAAACAATTTAGCCGCTGTGGCTAAAACCCAGAATCAGTACTGCTCCAGGTGACTTATTCGAGATGAAAACGTAGAAAAAAGAACTCCCATCTGCAATATTTCAGTATTTCTGAACAAGACTGAGCTAATTTCTTACACATGTTCAAAAAATTCAAAACTTCACGGTTCTCATCGACTGACAGACACGTATTTGAGATGCAAAACATTCGTTCAAGTTCTTCACTGATTCGTCACTGAAAAAAACCTACATTTTGGAAATATTATCTGAAATTAAAATACATTTTAAGTTGGATTTTGTGTGTGCGGGAATCCATATTAGTTTAATGTTCTTCTGCAGAAAGACAGTGATCACATTAAGTGTACATGTTGGGGATAACATGCAAATAAGCATCTAGATGTACTTTAACTAAGTATAACACAGTGGTTCAACTGCACACTGTTTGCACTGCAGGGTATTTTTAATTTGAAGCATTTATCATATTAAATATATATATACCTGAAAAGAATAAACCCTAAATTAAAGCTATGGACGTTAAAGCCCCCGGTCTCTGTGCACAGATGAAAACCTCTCACTGTCTGCCTTTTTTTATTTAAATGCTGTCAGGAAATGTAACTTCCCTGCTGAGTAAGAGGATGTTTGTTTGCAGCTTAGGGAACTTTTATGAACTTGTCCTTCAGTAAAGCTTTAGTTTATATTCTAAAATGTTGCATAAGACCCCCCACCCCCCACCCTACCCCCCTCCTCCTTCTTAAATCCCTGTGTCAGCCACCAACAGTTACTGATGCTTCCCAGAGGCAGAAGTGCATCTCTGAGCAACTACAGTGAGTGTACGGATGTTTTGATGCAGTGATGCAGGAAGAGAAACTTAAAATGTAAAAAAAGAAGCCTTATTACTTAATGGGTAATCCCCGTTGAGATCCACAGTTTAAAGTTCATATATCGTCTGACCCGGACTGACCACTCACCTGTTTCAAATAAACCTTGACCATAAAATAGTTACAAACTTAAAGAGTCCTCTCCTGCTGATGTTCAGGTGTATATCAGTATGTAGTGTCTCTACTTTAAAGAGTCCTCTCCTGCTGATGTTCAGGTGTATATCAGTATGTAGTGCCTCTACTTTAAAGAGTCCTCTCCTGCTGATGTTCAGGTGTATATCAGTATGTAGTGTCTCTACTTTAAAGAGTCCTCTCCTGCTGATGTTCAGGTGTATATCAGTATGTAGTGTCTCTACTTTAAAGAGTCCTCTCCTGCTGATGTTCAGGTGTATATCAGTATGTAGTGCCTCTACTTAAAGAGTCCTCTCCTGCTGATGTTCAGGTGTATAACAGTATGTAGTGTCTCTACTTTAAAAGAGTCCTCTCCGGCTGATGTTCAGGTGTGTATCAGTATGTAGTGTCTCTACTGTAAAGAGTCCTCTCCTGCTGATGTTCAGGTGTATATCAGTATGTAGTGTCTCTACTTTAAAGAGTCCTCTCCTGCTGATGTTCAGGTGTATATCAGTATGTAGTGTCTCTACTTTAAAGAGTCCTCTCCTGCTGATGTTCAGGTGTATATCAGTATGTAGTGTCTCTACTTTAAAGAGTCCTCTCCTGCTGATGTTCAGGTGTATATCAGTATGTAGTGTCTCTACTTTAAGAGTCCTCTCCTGCTGATGTTCAGGTGTATATCAGTATGTAGTGTCTCTACTTTAAAGAGTCCTCTCCTGCTGATGTTCAGGTGTATATCAGTATGTAGTGTCTCTACTTTAAAGAGTCCTCTCCTGCTGATGTTCAGGTGTATAATCAGTATGTAGTGTCTCTACTTTAAAGAGTCCTCTCCTGCTGATGTTCAGGTGTGTATCAGTATGTAGTGTCTCTACTTTAAAGAGTCCTCTCCTGCTGATGTTCAGGTGTATATCAGTATGTAGTGTCTCTACTTTAAAGAGTCCTCTCCTGCTGATGTTCAGGTGTATATCAGTATGTAGTGTCTCTACTTTAAAGAGTCCTCTCCTGCTGATGTTCAGGTGTATATCAGTATGGGGTGTCTCTACTTTAAAGAGTCCTCTCCTGCTGATGTTCAGGTGTATATCAGTATGTAGTGTCTCTACTGTTAAAGAGTCCTCTCCTGCTGATGTTCAGGTGTATATCAGTATGTAGTGTCTCTACTTTTAAAGAGTCCTCTCCTGCTGATGTTCAGGTGTATATCAGTATGTAGTGTCTCTACTTTAAAGAGTCCTCTCCTGCTGATGTTCAGGTGTATATCAGTATGTAGTGCCTCTACTTTAAAGAGTCCTCTCCTGCTGATGTTCAGGTGTATATCAGTATGTAGTGTCTCTACTTTAAAGAGTCCTCTCCTGCTGATGTTCAGGTGTATATCAGTATGTAGTGTCTCTACTTTAAAGAGTCCTCTCCTGTTGATGTTCAGGTTCATATCAGTATGTAGTGTCTCTACTTTAAAGAGTCCTCTCCTGTTGATGTTCAGGTTCATATCAGTATGTAGTGTCTCTACTTTAAAGAGTCCTCTCCTGTTGATGTTCAGGTTCATATCAGTATGTAGTGTCTCTACTTTAAAGAGTCCTCTCCTGCTGATGTTCAGGTTCATATCAGTATGTAGTGTCTCTACTTTAAAGAGTCCTCTCCTGTTGATGTTCAGGTTCATATCAGTATGTAGTGTTTATTATATATTTTCTTAAAAAGCCTTGACATTCAGAGTCTTTGTTTTCCTGTCCTCAGTGTGTTTTCAGCTGTTAATCCCCCACTCTCTCCTCCTCTTCCCCCCCCTCCTCCTCTTCCTCCTCCAGGTTACCATGGTGATGCTGTGGGTACTGCTTGTTTTCTGGGTTACTCTGTCTCTCCTCTAATGGTCTCCTCCTCTTCCTCCCTCTTCCTCTGCAGGCCCTACTTTGAGATGAAGGCCAAGTGCTACCTGCAGCTGGAGGTACGTGACGCTGTGTTTTAGTTGTAGTTCCCTTTCTCCTCCTTCATCTCCTCTGAAGGTCACAATGAGTACGATGTTCTCTCTGCAGATGTTTATGAAGCTGTGTAGCTCGACCAGGGGTTACATACCTTCAGCTAAACACTCAGAAAACAGCTGACTCTCCCGAGAAGCCGTGCTGTGGTTACGTTTCATTTTACATTTCAAAGTCAACTTTATTGTCAATCTCTCAGTTTGTGTGTACAGACAAAGAGATCGAAATACCGTTTCCCACAATCTCGAGGAATACAAAATACAAATATATATATATATAAAAATATGTATATACCTATATATACACAATCAACACATTTGTACATATGCACACATTAAGACATACATAAAAGCACAACAATCAATATATTGAAAATAACAGTCACTTCAATATCTTTGAAATAGTATCAATAAATAAAGCGTTGGGGACAGGGGTTTGTTTTCATGAAATGCTGTGAGAGCTCCCCCCACTGCATGTATGCTAAAGGTTCAAGGTTCTTTATTGTCAATCTGACATAGCTACAGAGTAATTATGTAGTTGAAAATCTTATGTCACAGGCTTCTCCAACAATGCAACATAATAACATAATAACAATAAGAGCAAGAGCAATACAAAAAGAAAAATAGTTATACAATAAAGTGATGATGTGGAATAGTGCAGTACGAGTCGACATACAAGTTATTGGAATGATATATATATATATTAGGTATTAGATACATAATACTGAGTAGCAGATGAATGTTTTGAAGTTGTTTCAACAGTTCCATTTTTTAACAGTCTCACTAAAAAAAGGTTCTCTGTAGGCACAGGGCCTCAAAGACTCACCATTAAAATGTAAACACAAATATATTTACACTAGTTTAAGTCAGATTTTAAGTGCAGCACATTCAGTTTTCTAAATGTAAATGATTCAGCATGAGCCTCATTTCCACTTCCATCCGTAACGTAGGTAGAAACTGAATCTAACGTTTGCATATTGAGTCTTTGGACGCCGAATGAAAGATCTGCTCTCTGCTAGTTTCAATCTAATATATTATATTCCATTCCTCACATACTTATGTATATATAATATCCTGCTTTATATTGTGTTACTGTACATTTGTAATTCAACATGTATATGTTCTACCATTTTTAATGCTATTTTATTTCTATTGAGATTTGTATTGATGTCGTAGCAACTTCAAATCAGCTGCTGTCTAGAAAACACAATATCCATATATAGTCTTTGAAGGTCTTTGTTTAATGCTTGCAAGCATGACGACTGCTTCTGAGTGCTCTGTGTGTGCCAGACTGTTTTATAGGAAGACAACAAAGATCATTTACATGACAACACAACAACATGTGGGCCCAGGTGTTCGATCACAATAAGCACAACTCACACCCTACAAAGAACAGTTGGGTGTCGCAGCTACCCCCTAGAGCACATCTGCTTCCTCATCCCCTGTCTTTTCTGTTGTGTCATAAAACCCTTCGTATCACACGTCCATGTCTATGCCATTCCCAGGATACTACTTTGTTCAAAGTGACATGTCATTAGGATGACTCTGTATTAAGCTTTAATACCATGATTGCCATAACATTGTACAATGCCTTGTCTTTTCATGCTGCTGCAACGCAAACATTTCCCAAATTGGGATCATTGAAGTACTTCTTATCTTCTTATCTTATCTTAGCGTTGTTCTCTCCTCAGTGTAAATTATTCGGCATGAGTCTCATGTCCACTTCCATATAAACGCACTGAATCTAAACACATATTGATCCAGTCGCTGCCGAACGAGAGTATCTGCTGTGTTAGCGTTGTTCTCATGACCTCCATCCTCTCCCCAGAACCTGAAGAGGGTCGTAGACGAGCGGCAGGCCAGGCTCTCTCGCGCTAAAGGCGAGTACAAGATGGCGCTCAGGAACCTGGAGAAGATCTCCGACGAGATCCACGAGCGGAGGAGGAGCTCCTCCATGGGGCCGAGGGGCCGCGGCGTGGGGTCCGAGGGCCACAGCGTCTCCGGGGACGACGGCTCCAACTTCAAGATGGAGTCGGACAGGATCTCCAGTGAGTGCAGAGAACTCTCTTTTTACCCTCGTAGCTCCTCACTCACTGACTAAGAGCTTCCAATATTCATACGCCCCATAGGCCCTAAAGCAGATCTATAATCTATAAGGTCTGAATATGTGAGAAGAAAACCATCAAACAGAAAACTTTGTTCTAGTTACATGTCGTTTACTAATTGCTGCATTTCCTTGCACTGTGTATCACTTTGAAAATGCTATTTCTATTTATGTTTGCTTCCTTTTTTATTGTTTTATGTTGTTTGAGGAGTATGCTGGAGCTACTGTTCAGAAAACAATAAAGCTTTGGAATATTTGAATCTTGACTCTCTTCTCCTCTTCCTCCCCCTCCTCCTCCTCCTCCTCCTCCAGTGGCGTCAGTGTGTTTTGAACCCATCATCATGTCGGAGGAAGAGTCTGAAACTCGCTCCCCCTTCAGTCTGGTCTCGTCTCCCAGCAGCCCCCAGGAGCTCCTCTCACCCTGCCCCTTCGTCAGCTCCTCTTCCTCCTCCTCCTCCTCTTCATCACCCACTCCCTCTTCCTCCTCCTCCTCCTCTTCCTCCCCCTCCCCCTCCTCCCGGCCCTGCAGTCTGGACCTCCCCTCCTCCGTGTCTCTCTCAGATTTCGGTCTGATCTCTCCGGTGCTCGGGCCGCGGAGCGAGTGCAGCGGAGCGTCGTCTCCGGAGTGTGACCTGGAGAGAGGTGTGTGTGTGTGTGTGTGTGTGTGTGTGTGTGTGTGTGTGTGTGTGTGTGTGTGTGTGTGTGTGTGTGTGTGTGTGTGTGTGTGTGTGTGTGTGTGTGTGTGTGTGTGTGTGTGTGTGTGTGTGTGTGTGTGTGTGTGTGTGTGTGTGTGTGTGTGTGTGTGTGTGTGTGTGTGTGTGTGTGTGTGTGTGTGTGTGTGTGTGTGTGTGTGTGTGTTCCTCAGACAAAAACACTGTTTGTGTGAGAAAGAGTAGGAGGGCAATTAAGAATTGATTTACCTGTGTGTGTGTGTGTGGGGAACAGAGTGTGTAAAGAGAAAGAGAGCAATTAAGAATGAATTTCCAAGTGTGTGTGCGTGAAAGGTGTGTGTTGTTTTCTCACACAGACAAAAACACTATGTGGTTGTGTGAGAAAGGGTAGGAGGGCAATTAAGTGTGTGTGTGTGTGTGTGTGTGTGTGTGTCATGATGTAGAATGTCAGAAATTTCAGAACAAATTATTTTGTATATTATATATTTATTTGACTGCATATCTAAATTATTTTTTAGAAATGTTTTGGGAATATATAAACCCTATAGTTCAGAAAGGCCCAGTATCTGTTTTAGGTTGAGATCATTTTAGTCGTCAGTGTCTACAAAGAGGAATTAGAAAATGTATCTTAGTGCATCAAAGCTGAATGATAAATGACCGTAATGCTGATAAAGTAACCACTCGTGATTCTCCGTCCTCAGGGGACCGAGCTGAGGGTGCAGAGGGGGATCTGGACAACGCTCCGCCCTCCAACAACAACAACAACATCACCCCCCCCTCCTCCTCCAGCACCAAGAGGAGCTTCAGCCTGGAGACGCGCTTCAGCTTCCTGAATCTGCGCCGCCCACGCTCCGAAAACGCAAAAAACTCAGACAAGTCTTCCAAGAAAGCCGATCAGACTGAGGTCTCTGTGAAAGGACTGTGAGGAGACAAAAGGAGGGTTTCTTGGATGGATATTTTAGCCAAACTCTAAAGAACTGATCCACGAACGCACTCCATTTAGAGACTGCAGTGAGAGAGAGATGCTGAATGTCATGTAAGGTGTAAATAAAGTTTCCTGTACATCACGGCGGCGATTTCCCTCCCATTTTCTTCACGAAGGACGAGGCACATTTGGACTCTGATCCCTGAGACTGTTGACAATGTGTTGGTGAAGGAACTGAGCGATGGTTAGTCTTTATTCATGTCGTTATTTTATTGTTATTTGTTTAAAAAGAACCAAGCTTCCGTCACAGAAAGGAAATGTACTTTAGCAGCCTGACCTTTTCACTTGGGGATCATTTTAAAAAGTGCTTTATCTATTAAATAATTGGTTTAACTGTTAATGTAAATTGAGAATGTGTTACTGTTGAATGGCACTTAGAATACTGTAAACCATGCAGAGGTGATGTTGAAGGAAATTAAGTCACACATGGAGATGTACAATAAATAACCTGTGTCTTAAACTGCTTAACGCTCTTGTAGTAAATGTATGTTGTGTTTTCTAAAGTTATGTATCTACTGTAAATGTTCAGGTTTAGGCACTATAAATGGGATTTTTCATAAAAGCTTCTTAAAGGACAGTCTGGTAGTATTCACTTTGCTTACCCACGTTATGCCAGCATGAGTAGTTTGATATAATGAACAGTTAAGGTGTTTAAATGGTTTGTTTACCCTGGTTAATGTGTCAAACGGCAGCACTCACGTCATTATTTTGGCAGAAAACAATCATGAAATATAAGGCCAAGGTTGAAAATGGTTGAATTGCCCCTTTCATTTCCTCTCCTACTCTCCATTTGTATATATTTATAAGAGCTGCTTTTATGAAGCATTGAAGAGTTGTTCCTTCAGACACTGAGAATTTTTTTTCAGCCTCTTCTCAACATGGTGTGTCCCTCAGGGCTCCGTACTGGAGTCCCAATGAAAGACTGTCATAGTGTAGTATGACAGAAAAAGTATGTAATACACTTTTTTTTTAAATGGTAATATCACACACACACACATCACTTCAGGGGACATTACATTGACTTACATGCATTTCCTGGAGACTTATCCTAACCTTAACCATAACCAACACATGCCTAACCCTAACCCTAAACCTAACCAAGTCTTCACCCTAAAATTAATGATTCCCCTCATGGGGACCTCCATTTTGTCCCCATAAGGGAGGTGAGTCCCCACACGTGACTGTGTAAACAGATGTAGGTCCCCACAAGTATAGTAATGCTAGGCCACACACACACACAACACACACGCCCTGGTGACCGGACAGACGTAGAGGTGTGTTTGTATGCGTGGGTGTAGGTGTGTGTGGTTCAAACGTGGCAGCCTGCGGTCGCTCTTTATCTGTTCTAATGAAGGTAAACACAGTGAAGGCGGTGCATAAAAGGCACAGCTCAGAGACTGCTGAGTTACACGACCCGCTGAATTAGGTTTTCCTTCTATAAGCAGTAGATACCGACATGAATTCATAGATCAAGGCAGACTGGTTCAGACACTCTCCTGTTTTGCGCGTAATAGCTTTACACCGCTGGCCGAAATGTCCTCAAAATGAAGTCTGAGTTTGAAATATATCTCAAACAATGTATGCACTGTCATTTCCACACATGAACATAACAGTCTGGAATGAAATGGTGTTCTCCTGTGTGCTCCACTTCCTCCTTTGGGTACTGGTAAGTTTTTCGTAAGTCATGCAAACTCAGACTTATTTTGTCATGTCCCTTTAGGGCAAGGGTGTCAAACTCAAGGCCCGGGGGCCAAATCCGCCACTTCATTTGATGTGGCCAGGGGCGGACTGGGACTACAAATCAGCCCGGGACTCTCGACCGGCCCACTTCGGTGCCGGCCCACCTCGGTAACTTATCAACGGGGGGGGGGTGCTAGTGACTTATCCGTGCGGCCCACATCGTCCGACCGGCCCACTGCAGTACCGGAACGGGTTTCGTCCCGAACGTCCCGATGGCCAGTCCGCCCCTGGATGTGGCCCACAAGAGCTTGCAAAGAATATAATACGTTTATTATAAGGTCACGTGCCGTTTTACAGGAGCACCATAAACTACATGTCCCACAATGCATCTCATTTTGTGAGATGCGCACTGAAGAGACTTGCAATTACTTACTAGACTTATGCTTTCAGGCGTAGTTAATTATGAAGTTATTACCCTATCCAATAATAATCCAATGCAGAGGAAATATTGTAAAATAATACATTATTTTATATATATATTATGTATATTTATCTATGTATATTTAATATAGTCTTAAAGTTACCACCGGCCCTTTGAGTGCAACCATAATTCTAATGTGGCCCGCGATGAAATTGAGTTTGACACCCCTGCTTTAGGGCCTCCGTACGATAAAAGTCGTTGTACAGTATGTAGACAAATATCCCAATAAGGCCATAGTATAGTATGTGGAAAAAAATGACGTAGTATATTGTCAAAAAACGACATTGGCTATATAGTATGTCTAAAAATTGGAGGTGTCCATGTAAAGCGTGTGGAAAATATAACAAAAACGAAAAAAGTCAGAGAAAACTACAAAGTATAGTGTGTTCTGCTTTAAAATATCAGAAAAAAAAAGCCATATTATAGGGTCAATGAGTGTTGGTAGCTATCAAAATAAAAGCCCCTCATCCCCACGTAAACAATAACTCAGAAAACACATCAGATATCATTTCTGTATTCAGAGTTTGAACACGTCAGCCCCACATTTAGTGCAAGTTCTGCAAACATTACGTCATCATTCAAACATTCAAACAGGCGGCTGCCAGATTGTCCTGCATTTACATGAATGTGGAAGCAGAGAGAAATGGCATGAATGAACAAGTGGATATCAGACAGAAAGACTTGGCAAGGTTCAACAAACAGTCTTACTATTAATTCATGTTAACAGTAATTATGAATGAAAATGGTCACCATGCTCCCCAGCCACGCATTACTATGTACCAGGTAGAGTGTATCGGCAAAAGCCAAAGCGATGGTTAATAGTGAAATCAAGAACCAAAAAAAAAAAAATGGTGGATTATATTGTGAAAATGTTTCTGTAAGTTGTCCAGACTCAGTTTCAAATCATCAAAAAGTCAAATAATAAAACTTAAATCAGAAGTACAGAAAGAGAGGATTAGGGCTACGTGAAAAAAACGTCACATTTGGCGCTAATCCTCTTCCGTACGACAGCAATTTAAGGTATTATTTAATCCTTTTTGAGTCATTAAATGAGCATAAATGCCAAATAAACATCAGGTTCACCAACACACCTAGTTCCACGATTATAAATGTGATAACGTGCTGCTTCTGAGAGTTTTACATCACTGTTATCTAACATTTTACTATGATGAAATATTGCTTGCGGACTGTTTACATTCACTTCGTACAGCCCGTGAACACAGAACCACTTTGTGTGACGACATGCACAAAAAAGCCCTCAAAAGCATCAGAAAGCCGTGCAGCCTGCAGACACTTTACACATAAAAGGCATTGCAACTGCTGTCTGTCGCTGACTCTACATGTAGATTTGAACAACTAATGGCTGCTTCCACACGATGCATCTTAACTTATATTAACAATAAACCGTATACAGCTGAACCATGCAGCCTCAGATTTCACTCAGCTGTAGTCGAGGAGTATTTGATGCAGATAAAAGCAGCACAAAAGTATATATATTGTGTAATTCTGTACACGACAGAGTGCTGATTACGAGTCCAATGTTCTACGGATATAAAATAAGGAAGAAGTCACAAGGTGAGCTTTGCATTGAGGGAACAAAGTGACTTATTCACTTCCTTACTGTATGTTGCGTTTGACAAACCCACAGTGAGACATGGTTGTCCAAAGTGCTGTAAATAAACAGGTAAACAGAGGATGTGAACTTGGCAACACATTTTTTCTCACCTGTAGAAGGTTGATGGCGACAATCAAACAAATGCTTCCACACACACACATCCAGGTGTAACGCGCATACACACATCCAGGTGTAACGCGCATACACACATCCAGGTGTAACGCGCATACACACATCCAGGTGTAACACACACACACATCCAGGTGTAACACACACAGTGTTACAGTGCTGCTGCTCCTGAGAATCAATGAAACATTAAAGGAAACCGTCTGTCCGTTCCTCCTCATAAAACCCTAAACAGCTGTCCCTTTTTTTGGCTGAGACTGCAGAATATTTAACCCAAAATCACTAAGTGTGATCGGGTAAAGCAATAATAAAAAAAGAAGACTTCATTTTCGAGTTCTCCACACTGCAAAAATAGCGTTTTTATCCTGGCTGCCAGTATATCAGTCCAGATGACAGCTCATAGAGTCCTATAGTGAACCCTGAAATGTGGAGTACCCCAACGTTTTTATGATAGAAATGTATACAGTAGTAGGGTCTCCAGCACATAGAAACTGCCGGATGCTAACACGTTGCATTAATTAGCATGTGCAGACAACAGCAAAAAAACGGCTGATTTGGACAGTTTGAGTGGTTTTTGAGGATGTTGAATCCATTTCTGACACTTTTAGGATCATAAGTGGCCGTTTGGAGTCCCCTAAACACTTTAAAATCAACTAAAAATTCACAAGATAAGCCCACAGAGTACACATATGGCCACTCTCTGGTAACAACTGTCATTTAGGATCCTGAACATTTCAAAATTGGATTCAACATCCTCAATAACCTCAAAAAAAAAAACTCCAACATTTTCCAAATCGGGCAAGACATTTTCTAACGATTGTCCACATATGCTCATTTATGCTAATTGGCGAACATCTGCAAGTTAGCATCCGGCAGTTTCTATGTCCTGGGGAAACCTACAATACATTTCTATCATAAAACTGTGGGGTATTCAACATTTCCCGGTTCACCATATGCACATTTGGTGGAAATGTCCACCTGGAGAAGCTACTGAGGATACGCTCCTGGATTGTTAAGAGGCTCAATGCAGCAACACAGAGACAGAAAAGATGTAATTGCTTTCTGGCCGCCATATTAACATTTTTTGCAGCTGGATTTTGCCACTTTAACCCTTTAACTGTTGTATAATCTCTGTTATCATATGAGATCCCCAGATGTCTATGCTCCTTTTATGGCGTAAAGGTGAACATGTGTTGTATTTTGTTCAAAAACGCATAGACTGTCGATGGGTTTCATCCGTACTGAAGTTCCTCTTGATGATTCCTCACCGATAACTCAATACTTCACCATATCTGTCCTTGGTGAAGGAGTTTGGGGAAGGCTGTGAAACATTCTTTGTGTTTTTTTGAGGCCACGACACCAGAGAAATCCCATAATCCTCCTCTTCTTGTTCACTGGAGCTGGGAGACCTTGAGGGCCGAGGTGCTGGAGAAGTCCAGGAAGAAGGGTCCCTCCTGTTTGGGCAGGAAGGTGGTGGGGATGACGTTGTAGAGGCCAGCGGGGACAAGCTCCGCCTCCATGTAGCAGAAACCACACCTGGGGGAGAGAGGGGGAGGAGTTAATACAGGTGGGGAGATAAGGGGTTAAACTGTCTCACCTGTGCAGCACTGTCTTCATTCACACTCCACAACAACAACAGCTACTCAGAGAAGAAGTATGTGATATTATGAGAGATTAATAAAAGACTGAGGTATTGATTTTCAGGAATAGGTCAGAATAATTTGCATATTACATTTTTGTTAAGTTTGTCCATACATGTTTTTCCAAAGATGTGTAATCTTACGCCTTGATTTCAAAAGCACTCTCAGGATTTGTAACAAATGTAGATGTCCCCTCTGTGGGACATTAAGGTGTTCTGATTCCAAACTACTGTACCTGTAATCTCCGCTGTTTTTCTTCTGGAAGCTGGCGGGCCCCGGATCCCCCACCATGGAGACCGTCACCATCTCAAAACCAACACTGTACTGCCTACACACACAGAGACACACACACAGAGACACACACACAATTATTTTGAGAATTTAGAAGGAAAAACAATGATAAAATCCTACGAGGCATTTTTTTATTTTTTTTTATTTTTTAGAAGGATAATTTTACGTCTTTTACGGCATTTTGGTACCGATTCAGCTAATGCAAAATAAAAATAAAATAATTATAGTTTAAGATAACCAGCAGCAGTTTATTAAGTCATTTTAATTAGCTGCACCAAAGGCTCCGAATACTCTATTTATATAGCTCCTTTCATCGTTAGTGCTTTCACATATAAATACACAGAGAGCAAGTGAACAACACAGCATCTACAAATTAAAAAAACACGTATAAAAAAATACAACAAAAATACATAAATGACAAATAAAGTAAAATCACATGAAAGCAATTCTAAAAAAGTGAGTTAAAGATCTCCCCTGGCAGGTCTGTATTCAAGTATTGCTACTTCTACTTAACATCTGAGTACTTCTTCCACAGGGTATCAGCCTACCTGGATCCTCTCAGCTCGATGAGCAGCGGCCCCGCTCGCTCCATGTTGATCTGATAGATGGGGTTGTGTTTGTACGAGTCCTTATAATTCCCACAGCCACCAGAAGTGAGACCCTTCCACTGACCGTTCACCTGAACACACCACGAAGAGAGAGTTAGGTGGTTTATAAAACACATGATGTACGACCAGCAGTTACGTGTCGGCAGAGGTGGGTACAAATACTTTGTTACTGTACTTAAGTACTTTTTACTGGTATCAGTACTTTACTCCACTACATATTTTTCTGAAGACTTTTTACATTTTGAACCCAAACACCTGTACTTTCTACTTCTTACATTTTGAACACAAATACCTGTACTTTCTACTTCTTACATTTTGAACACAAATACCTGTACTTTCTACTTCTTACATGTTGAACACAAATACCTGTACTTTCTACTTCTTACATGTTGAACACAAATACCTGTACTTTCTACTTCTTACATTTTGAACCCAAATACCTGTACTTTCTACTTCTTACATGTTGAACACAAATACCTGTACTTTCTACTTCTTACATTTTGAACACAAATACCTGTACTTTCTACTTCTTACATGTTGAACACAAATACCTGTACTTTCTACTTCTTACATTTTGAACACAAATACCTGTACTTTCTACTTCTTACATTTTGAACCCAAATACCTGTACTTTCTACTTCTTACATGTTGAACACAAATACCTGTACTTTCTACTTCTTACATGTTGAACACAAATACCTGTACTTTATACTTCTTACATGTTGAACACAAATACCTGTACTTTCTACTTCTTACATGTTGAACACAAATACCTGTACTTTCTACTTGTTACATTTTGAACACAAATACCTGTACTTTCTACTTCTTACATGTTGAACCCAAATACCTGTACTTTCTACTTCTTACATGTTGAACCCAAATACCTGTACTTTCTACTTCTTACATTTCCCAAACAGGCTGGTTCCTTTAGTTTGAATGTGTGTTTGGTGGCGTGATCATTATTATTTAGAGTCATTGCGTGCCTATTGATTTGAACACGATCCGTGTATCCATCATTTCCTGGTCTTCTCTAAAGAAGAGGGACCAATGAAAACGTTGTCATGTTGCCGTTGTTCAGCATGGAAACATTCATTAGCTAACAATGACATTATTGTTCTATTAATATAAAGGGAGGTCAGGTACTCTTTAAAACAGCTGCTAGTTATGGGTACTTTTTACTGAAGTACATTTCAAAGCCCTCTTTACTTTTACTTGAGTAAAGAAGTTTAGTCAGTACTTCTACTTTTACCAGAGTATTTTTAAACACGAGTATCTGTACTTCTACTTGAGTTAAGGATGTGTGTACTTCTGCCATCTCTGCCTGTCGGGGGATAACGTACCCTTTTGGTCTGAGTGAAGGGGTTGGGGATCTTGGAGAAGGTGAATTTGCATCCGGTGTAAACCTACGGAGGGAAACACAGCCTGGTATTAAACACTGAGCAGTAACTGGAACCAAAAAGATGATAAATGGAGTCAAAAAGGGAAACAGGAAGCCACAGAAAGCATGTAGAAACAGATAGAGTTGTGGAGCAGCAGCTTGTGAATGAAAGAATATGAGAAACAAAGTGTGGAGGTAACGATATAAAGACTACTGTAGCTTCTTCCTAATTGGCCAAATTGTAAGACAATGTTTCCAAAATGGTGGATCGCTCCCTTTGAAACACAATGTATTCACGGCTTTGATGCACACAACACAGATCTGTCATATCAGCGCTGAGCAGGGGAGAGGCACGAGAGGAAATGAAGCCTGTTTCCTGCTGTGATCTCTGGAGGAAACTCAGCCAACAAGAGAGACTTCAATCAGATGTTCACGAGACCACGCTCACAGAGACACACTGAGCGCAGACGCTCACAGAGACACACTGAGCGCAGACGCTCACAGAGACACACTGAGCACACACACACTGAGCACACACACACACACACACACACACACACACACACACACACACACACACACACACACACACACACACACACACACACACACACACACACACACACACACACACACACACACACACACACACACACACACACACACACACACACACACACACACACACACACACACACACACACACACACACACACACACACCACACAACACACACGTTTTTTTTAATTTTTTTTAAATCAGTGATTTCTGTATAAGCAGTTCTTCAGAGTCCTTGTTGCAGTTATTAAGACGACTGCATGAATTATACATGCCTTAAAAAAATATGTGGGTCACATGCACACACACACACACACACACACACACACACACACACACACACACACACACACACACACCACACACACACACACAACACACCACACACACACACACACACACACACACACACACACACACACACACACACACACACACACACACACCACACACACACACACACACACACACACACACACACACACACACACACAAAGAGAAAAAGGGAAGAGGAGTCGCTGCTCTCAGCTGCTGCACATTTGACAAAAACTAAATCCGACACGGTTCACTGCAGCATGGAGGAGTTATCTTACACAGTGGATTTGACACGCTACTCTGTGTGTGTGTGTGTGTGTGTGTGTGTGTGTGTGTGTGTGTGTGTGTGTGTGTGTGTGTGTGTGTGTGTGTGTGTCTCTTTAAATATACACTGTACTTTCAGGATGAGAGAGCAGGAATGCAAACCATTGTTAGAGACCATGAGAAAAGTACAGGTGTTAATTATTGTGAACAAATACTCAAACTAAAATGAAAATAAGAATGCGTAAACATTGTCATAAACTATATATATTAAGATTTAAATTATGTTTCATGATTACAAATGATGTAGTGATATAATAATATATATAAAAAAGGAGACAGCATCAAATATATGTAAAAACAAAAGAGACCCTTACTGTAAAAACTAGAATGACATATAAAACATATTAAAGAATAAATAAGAATAAAAACCTTCCTGAAAAACTGAATATAAAAAAAGTTAAATATAAAGAAAATTTAAATTAAACCTTCTTGAAAAATGTAATCACAAATTTAAAGTGGACCTATCATGCTATATTTGAATAATATAGTGTAGGACCATACCTATATAAGGCATATTTATACTTTTTTTTTTTAAATACCAAACAGATCATGCATTTTAGCCATGCCTCATTTTGCTCAATTTTACATTTTTTAGCTCTGTTTGTGTAAGGGCAGATTCTGTGAGAACAGCACCATCTACAGGCCTGGCATATGTACTACAGCGTCTCCAGCGCTTTAGAACGGCAATGGCCGTGGCTGTCTCCTCCTGATTGGTGGAGTTGGCCCAATAGCCGTAGCGCCACCGTCCTGACGTCAGGACAGTGTTCAAATCTGGATCAGTTTTTATCAGATCCGTTGCAGCCCCTTTTTTAGAGATTTGGGTATGGAGGAAAATAGAGAGGGTTGTGTTTTCTGACACTTGGTGAGTTCCCTGGAACACCGGGGACACATATTCATGTAGAAAAGACGTACAAAAGTGCATTTTGCATGATAGGTCCCCTTTAAATCAAAAACACTTAAATAAATTAAAATCTTCTTGATAATTCAAAACTATGATATATTGACTATTTGATACAGTCATTTTTGCTTTGTGTCTACATTACACAAATATCTTTCTAAATTGTATAAACACATTTTCATTGGTTCTTCCTTCTACCCTAATCCAATGGATGCAGTTCAGTGTCAGTATAAAGTGGTTCACATGTAAATATTAAACACGTTATGTTCATGCTTTATTCCTAGATCTGGAGATAGAAGCTGATGAAAGCTTGTCTGACCCGCAGTGTGTAGTTGATGGTGTTCTGCTTCTCATACTGGGACACCACCAGCGTGAAGGTGTGTGTGCCGGCGCTGGTCAGTCTCATCTTGGTCAGATAGTGCGGACTGTTGATCCGGATACCGTCGATGTAGGGAGGGGGGTCCGCTGGAAACGGTCATTTTAGCATCAGTTTTCTCATGATATATAATAACAGTCAAGTTTCCAGCTCATAAATCAAGTAAAGTCTAAATGTATTATAGCCCCAAATCACAAGAAATGCCTCAAAGGGCTGTACAAAGCTAACAAAAGCAAAGACTAACACAAAATTAGCACAAGTTGTGTTAATTAGCATATTTAGACAATAGTTAAAAGATGGCTTGGACAATTTTGGAGTGGTTTTGGGGGTTATTGAGGATGTTGAGTCAATGTCTGACATTTTTAGAATAAAAAATGTCAGTTTTAACCAGAAAATGGTGATATTTGCACTGATTTTTATGAATTATGGGCTGATTTTAAAGTTTTAGGGGACTCAAAACTGCCATTTATAATAATGAGAAATGGATTCAGCATTCTCAAACCAAATGGTCATTATGCAAATGAATGCAACTTATGTTAATTGTGCAAATGTCCCAACATATGCAGGTTAGCATCCTGCAGTTTCGATGTGCTGGAGACCCTACTATACATTTTTAATATAAAAACGTTGGGGTCCTCTACATTTCAGGGGTTACAATGCTGGCTAGTAGACTATTAGTAAGTACTACGATATTGATACATTTTCGATTAATTGTGCAGCCCCAACATTTTCATTTGTACAAGGCATCAATCAAACCTCACCTGGGTAGTAAACCTTCTTCCCTTCGGTTTTGTAAACAACCAGAGTGATGAACTCTCTGTTTTGTGCAAAATCATCCTGTACAAACAAACAGGAGACAGCCATCAGATTCAAATACATCCTCATAATATCACATCCTATCACTATAACCTATAACACGTACAGTCTTTAAGTACAATATCGAGGTTCTTGTACTTTTAAACAGCTTGTATTGGTACTTCAACTAAAGTAAAGCATCTGAATACTTCTGTCTGTGTGTGTGTGTGTGTGTGTGTGTGTGTGTGTGTGTGTGTGTACCTTGTCAGTGATGTGTCTGGTGAGCAGCACCCACACAGCAGCGCCCCCTGCTGGGCACTGAACCTCCAGCTTGTACTGCGGGTTGTTGGCCAGACTGTAGACGTCCTTCACCGGACCCTGCTTCCCATCCCAGCTGCTGCTCACACACACACACACACACACACACACATTAATACTGTCTTCACAATAGTATTATCTGGCATGAACACATTAATTTCTGCATTCAAACTGTTAGTTTCTTATTTTTACGTCATCATACTGTAGATCCTGTTTTATAGAATTATTACACTGTTATACAATCTATTGCACACACACACACACACACACACACACACACACACACACACACACACACACACACACACACACACACACACACACACACACACACACACACACACACACACACACACACACACACACACACACACACACACACACACACCACACACACACACACACCACACACACACACACCACACACACACACACACCACACACACACACACACACACACACACACACACACACACACACACACACACACACACACACACACACACACACACACACACACACACACACACACACACACACACACACACACACACACACACACACACACACACACACACACACACACACACACACACACACACACACACACACACACACCTGTGAATGCAGGAGGAGTCCTTGAACAGGGCGGGGTTCCAGCTCAGGTAGATGACATCAAAGTACTGACAGAGGTCCTCAAACGCGATCCAGAAAACACCTGCAGAGAAACGCAGAGGGGAAAATGAGTCTGGTTATTATCTGATGCGGCGTTGATAGAGATAGTGCCTCGACTTTCTGCAACTCAGATGCTCACATCGCTCACATTTCAAACTACAATGATGCACCACGGTAAGACCTTGACTAAGAGCTGACTCAGAGAGTTTGAGACTTCGGTTTTAGTTCATATAATTTACTTACTATTCAAGCTCTTAATCAACATTTGGATGCAAGTTTGTGTACATCTTATCGTGTTTACAACTGGTATTTGTGCACAGCTGCAGACTAAGATAAGGTTACACTTATATTAGTTGTATAATACAATATGTAGTATAGGATTTACAGTCGTGGCTACGCGTGAGTTCCAAATATATGAAGTCAACATAACAAAATATGTGTTATCCTTTTTAAAATGAACAACCAATTGAAATCTAACAATCTAAGTTCTGCTTTAATCCATATTTGTTTGGTTCATCCTTTCAAAAAGCACGTTAACGCTCTCCTGTCTAACAGCGACAGACATTCATTGAAGTTTAGTTTGAAAACCTCAATAAAAACATGAAGAAATTGGTAATCCTAACTTGGATGTAATGCTTTTTTTCTTAGATTAATAGCATACAATGACACAATGAGAACGAGCCCCACATTACAACACATAACAGATCATTTTAGGGTAGGAGGTAAAACATGAAGATTGCATTAATGATAAATAAAGAGCGTACCATTATCGAACTTCTGTGCAGTTTTGGGGTCAAAGTTGAGGTACTTCAGGAGGTCGGGGGTCCAGTTCTTCTCGTCACGCTCGCTGTAACGCCCTTTCCATCGCAGGTGACTCCACGGGTTCTTCAGCTGCAGGAAACGCATCCCCTACGAGAACACACACACACACACACATGTATTAGTATTTAAATTGACATATTATGCTGATCTTCTGGTTCATATCAGTATGAACATGCTAATGCTACTCTCCTTGCGCTAACCTTGTGTTCCCTGATGTCGAGGACAGCGTAGGCGTGAGTCGGCACTAAACCCCACTTTTCCCCCTCCTCGTCTGTCATCACCCCCGTTGCCGTGGTGATGAGGACGTCACCTCTGTGAAACCTGGCAACGGAGGAGAACAAAAAACAAGATGAAGCCACAAGTAAAGGACGGAGAGCATTACAAGAAAACTGGGGAGTTTGTTTGGCCCCAAACTGTGGAACGGCCTCCCATTTGATCTGAGAACGTACATTAAAGACCATGTTTTATATATGTTCCTCATTTGTTATTGTCATTATTTTTGTCATACTCTGTAAAGCACTTTGGGCTCAGTCAAGCATGAAAGGTGCTAAATGAATAAAGTGTATTATTATATTACAAGAGATACAAAAAAACTAGATGACAGTGAGAGGGAGTTTGAGGTGTGTGTTGTGTGTGTGTGTGTGTGTGTGTGTGTGTGTGTGTGTGTGTGTGTGTGTGTGTGTGTGTGTGTGTGTGTGTGTGTGTGTGTGTGTGTGTGTGTCACCTCTGGAAGAGCATACGGAAAGTGTCGTCCTTGCTGAAGGACTGATTGTCAGAGTGCATGGCGATGCGTTCAGGGATCCAGCCGGTGAGCGCGTGAAGATCGATGTTCTGTAACACAGATTATAAATATAAACAATTCAGACTTTTTCACAACTTTATTTCATTACAGACGTTGGTGTGTATTCTATATTCTGCTGAGAGTGAGTGAAAAACATTTCACTTTAATGGTAAAGTAACTCTTATTAATAACTTAATTAATGAGGTTGAATTTTGGTTTAAATTTGTTGTAACATTCTCTGAACTGAAAAGTATAGAATACATTAACTAAATATCATTGAATCAGGTTAATTAACTGAGCAGACCATAATCATATTTCGAATTGTGACATATATGTCAATTGTTAAGGTTAATGTCACAGCGATATTTATCTCATGTGTTTCATATCAATTTGATCAAGAAATGTTTTTACAACAGGTTAATTGTAATAAAGGACATGTTATATGTTACATAGCATTACATTACATTACATTACATTACTTGTTAGACGCTTTTATCCAAAGTGACTTTCATACTCAATACTGTGGGCAATCCCCACAGGAGCAATTTGGGGTGAAGTGTCTCAGGGACACAACGACATGCTGACTGCAGTGGGGTTTGAACCTGTGACCCCCTGATCCGAAAACCAACACACAACCCACTGCACCACACGCCTCCCTATTATATAGCATTATAATTCTTAAATGGCTTGAATTTTACCTTTAGCAACAAACAAAAAAGCTTTTGAAATGTTGCTAGTTCTGTCACATGTGTTAGTCTGGCACATGGACATCTTGGACATGTTGTCATGGGAACACAAAGTCACATGACCTGGCCATGACCCACCAGACTGTTCAGGGTGTGTCACTTAGGGACTTCACGAGATAAAATAAAGGCTAAAGCTGTATAAGGAACTTTCCAGAACATTTGAATGTCCTGTAACACCTGTGTGACAGTGGGCTCTTATGGATGAAGCTCTGTCACCGACTACAATTCCTCATTCTCAGCACATTGTTGCTCCAAATGTTAACTTTGGACGTTGAAGAAACTCCCTCTTGAACCCCCTCCTCCTCCACTCACCGAGTTGGACCCGGGGAAGTCGTAGCCTCCCATCACCTTCATGTAGGCTTTCTCTATCAGAGACACCCACAGCTCGTTCCTGTTGCTGGAGTACGAGCACAGCAGCTCCCCGTTACGGTCCACCGGCAGGAAGTCGTCTATGATCACCTGCGGGAGGGAAAAAATAAAATAAAATCATGACTTAAAGGTCCCCGATTATAGTGTTTTTCATCAGTATATTAAAGGTCTCAGAAACACACAGAACAGGTCTCAGATACACACAGAACAGGTCTCAGATACACACAGAACAGGTCTCAGATACACACAGAACATGTCTCAGATACACACAGAACAGGTCTCAGATACACACAGAACAGGTCTCAGATACACACAGAACAGGTCTCAGATACACACAGAACATGTCTCAGATACACACAGAACAGGTCTCAGAAACACACAGAACAGGTCTCAGATACACACAGAACAGGTCTCAGATACACACAGAACAGGTCTCAGATACACACAGAACAGGTCTCAGATACACACAGAACAGGTCTCAGATACACACAGAACAGGTCTCAGATACACACAGAACAGGTCTCAGAAACACACAGAACAGGTCTCAGATACACACAGAACAGGTCTCAGATACACACAGAACATGTCTCAGATACACACAGAACAGGTCTCAGATACACACAGAACAGGTCTCAGATACACACAGAACATGTCTCAGATACACACAGAACATGTCTCAGATACACACAGAACAGGTCTCAGATACACACAGAACATGTCTCAGATACACACAGAACAGGTCTCAGATACATACAGAACAGGTCTCAGAAGTGTTTTTACCTTCCTGGGGACGCCGTTGATGTGAAGCTTCACCATGTACTTCCCACAGGGATTATACTCCGGCTCACCTCGTCTGTTCTGAGGGTAGATGACACTGAAACACACACACACACACACACACACACACACACACACACACACACACACACACACACACACACACACACACACACACACACACACACACACACACACACACACACACACACACACACACACACACACACACACACACACACACACACACACACACACACACACACACACACACACACACACACACACACACACACACACACACACACACACACACACACACACACACACACTCTATTAAATATACAGCGCTCAAGGTTCCAAATATAATAATAACGGATCTGTTGCAGATGTTTTGTTGTTTGTGTGTATCTTGTACGTCGACCTTAAGAGTTTTCAAAGGCACCTATATAATAAACTGTATCATCACTATTACAAAAATATCCCAATTTGGGATCAATAAAGTACCTCTTATCTTATCTTATCTTACTGTAGCAGTTTTAAGGACTCAAACACACTAATAACTGTCAAATATTCCAAATAACTTTTGATGAATTTCTGTCTCATGATGAACACGAAATGTGTCAAGAGCCTTTTGTTTGTAACGCCGTAGGGATGGAACATAAACAATGGTATATTTCAGTTTTTGTGTGGTCTGAATTGGATTCATATTTAAAACTAAGAAAGAAACAACACACACTACTGGCACTTCAAGTTAAGAACATCATGTGTCTGCCTTAATAAAGCAGTACAAGCTCATCTCAAAACATTCTCTTGCACTGTTTTATCTGTTTTATTTGTTCTATGTCCTCTATATATATTCACGTTGCTCTGTTGGAGGAACCTGTGACTTCAGTTTTTCATTGCCACATCTACACTGCAGCTGCTGAGCACATGATGATAAAGCCTTGAAAATCTGAATGAAGTCCGAACACTGAGGCAACAGGCCGTACCTGGTGATGAGTTTCTTGTTGTAGCGCCTCTCGTAAGCAGCACTGATGGCGAGCGACGCCACGAAGGAACAGTCGGACACCACCGTCTGCACGAGAGGAGAGAGGGTCACGCTCATTATCGGGTTAAAGTTCACTTTTTTTTTTAATGTCTATGCCAGGGATACATTCTGTTGTATAAAGAGGATATCCCTATTCCCTACATACATGTATGTAAAAAACTGAGTAAAATATTTAACTGTGTTTGCATTTTTAAGCGCTAAATGTTTTTTAGTTATTCTGTATATTTGCCAAATGTTATTTTAACTTGGTTACATGATGGTCCTGATTTGCGAGAATGTTGTGCCCCTCCGCTGCATGAACAACAACAACATGCGTACAGTTTACATGCAAAGGCCTGCCTTAGGAAAACACTGTTATTAAATAGGTTTAAAAACGGTGTGTCCCACTCTCTGTGGAAAAAAATGCAATCATTTACAGCTGGAAAAAATCTGATCCCATTTTATTTTTTACCTGTTTTTTATGATTTATTTGTGTTCTGGTCTGAATGGTGAGGTTTTCAGAAAGTGGTGAACTACTCTGTCTCTTGAATTGTACTTTACATAAGATAAACTCAAAAAATGATTTGAAGTTGCAGGAAATCAGGACATTTCTGCTCAAGATAAGCGCATTTATGACCTAAATTAAATATTAAATAAAGGTTTGATCCAGAAAATCCTAGCCTTTCACTGCAAACTTTCCCAACAAATATCTTTGAAATATGGAATATGTTGTTTTTTTGCACTTATGGGAACATTTCAAAGGGAAAAGGAGGAGCAGCATTTGACGGATTGTGTACTGGTACGTGTTTAAAAAGCACTCTCATCTCCAGCTGTGAGTCTGACCTGTTTGATGCTGAAGCTGGACACGGACATGATCATGGTCGGGTTGTTGCAGAGCTCGTCTGGCCGCACCCAGCGAGAGAAGATGGCTTTCTGTTTGGGAGACAGCGCCAGTTTCCCTAATTTGTCCCTGGTAAGAAAAAAATACAAGAAACAGGAGTTCAGAAAAGAAACTAATTATTCAGATGTTTGTCCATCCATCACACCAGGCTGCATTCAAACAGGACTAAAGCTGCTGATATTTAATTTAGTCTTATTTACATTATTTCATTTCATATTCTGTTCTTGTACATATCCAATATTCTACTGACATGTATATAGATTTTTTGCACTACTTTTAATTTTGTATTGTTGTATTTGATTACATATGTTGCATTGTTGGAGGAGCTCAGAGGCCTGTACTACGAAGCTGGTTCAACTTAACCTGGATATGTTGGAGTTAGCCGGTTGGCCCAATCCAAAACATACGCGCTCTGGCTAAACTGTACTACGACGCTGGTTATCAAGTGGATCGCTCAAGCCGCCGTGTCCTATCTAGTTAGGTGCGCGTTCACATGAAAGGGGTGGTATTTGGAGCATTCGACCAATCTCAAACACGGACAAGCGTACTGACAGCGCAGCGTCATACTTCCTGAATGAAAAGTGAACTTTAATATTAGTCAAATATGAAGAAGTTAAACTTTAAACATCCATGACTTAAACACTTTATCCAGGATAAAAGCCACATAGCTGCACCTGCAAGGTGAATACAGCTGGTAAAAGAAAAAGCGTTTGAATACGTACATTAACAGGTTTATGAAATCACTGCCCCGTCCAAGACACGAGTGGATCTGACTTTAATTACATTTGACTCGAGTGTTTCGTCAACTTAATGTGTTGCTTAAAATAATACTTCTGCATACGGTATGTGACACTGTGAGTGTTGCACGGCCAGATACGGCTCAAGAAGCTGACTCAAATAAGGAAATATATGATACATTATGATGTGATATGATATGAATGATAATGGGACACATCGACGTCTGCACTCACAGTGCCGCGGACTGTACTTAATGTTACTCTGATCCGGTTACTTATGTCGTGGCAGATATTTAAGTAAGCTTTCTTAACGCTAATGTTATAATAGTCAGATTGCTCTGAAGATGGGAGGGGATATTCTATTAATTTTCACGTTCACACAGTCAGTTGATTTTTGCCGGCCGTCTTTCCTGCAACGGCAGTTTTTCTGTATTTCCTCTATCCTGTAATATGACTTGATAGCTTTAAACTCCGCACACGGAGCTCTGATTGGTCAGCAGGCGGTGCTTTCACTGAGTTGATCTCTTAGCCTGCCACCTAACCTGCTCCGGAGCAGGTTAGCCGCTCAGCATAAGTTACCATGGAGATCTAGCCCGCTAAAAAGAGAACCAGCGTCGTAGGACCGGAAAGCCCGAGATTTCCCTGAAGTTAGCCGGCTAAGCGAAAATCCAGCTTCGTAGTATAGGCCTCAGGTCAGAAGAATTTCATTGCCATGTCTACACTGTAGCTTTGTGCATATGACAATAAAACCTTTGAATCTTGAATTTAGTTCATATGTACAGTAGTGTTGTGTCCACCAATAATTTGGGGTAAAAGTCTCCCCAAAACCACATCTAGACTTAAAAACAATCCTTTCTTGGATCATTGTAGGATTTCTTTACTTGTCAGTTTCATGAAACAGATGCACTGCTATTCCTACAAATATATGACGCTGACTCCAATAGACATTAGGGATGTGCATCTCCATCACTGAGGCCGATACGATGCGCATCTCGATACGCTACCAACGATACGATACATTAACGATACCTTTGAAACACCAGGCGATGCGATACGATACGATTCACCCCTGTTGCGATACAGTTCGATACGATTTGATTCAACATTATGGGATACGGGGCGATACGATGTGATTCAACACGATGCAAAATAATGATACAATTCAATATGGTACGACAGAGGATTTTGTTTTATTCCTTATATGCAGCAAATCATACATTAACAAAAAGGTGCTTTACATATTTGCTTCTCTCTACTAGTACTGCACATCCCATCATGCTGTTTCTTTTTTACCTTAAAAAAAAAAAACACTTGGACCTTTCACAAACTGGCCTTTTCACAAGTGTAGTAGTGTTCTCTGTCTCCAGAGTACAGTTCAATTGTATAACACCTCACAGTTAAACAATTTAAGGATGCCCAGGATTAACAATGTGCAAATAACAACTACCATAGTGCAATGCACATACAACTGCCAGCCTGATGTGCTTAACACTCATTCATAGGCTCACCAGTGAGCAGAAAGCAGTGGTTTCTATAGGAACAATAAAGAAAACAACCTTTCACAAACAGGTATTTCATAACTGCTTACAGTAAGGAAGACATTTAAACTATTATTGGCAGTCACAGGCTGTTGTAAACTAAACACCAGACAGAACACCTCACTGAGTGATTGAACTCATATGTCTAACTGTCAGGTTTTTCTTTTCAGCCGCAGACCCCATGTTGCCTCTATGTGCGTCGCTAAGTTCCTCGTACTACTTGTGTACTTTAAAGCCGCACGGCATCGTTTACAATTTGCGAGCGATTTTTCAAGTTGTCCGTCTTTCTTGAAAAATTCAAAGTGTTGCCAAACGTTTGATTTGTAGGTATTTTTCGGTGCGCTGTGTTTCTCTTTCTCCTCGACTTCCATGTGTGTTGATAACTGAGACTCTCGGCCTCCGTAGTGGCGAAGCAAAGATCAAAGATCGTCTCTGCTGAGTGCTGACAGGATGAGAGGATATTATATGAATGAATCGTTTTTTTACCGATGCAAAGACGCTACAATCGATGCATCGCGAGTTCAACCCAAACTGTAGCCGATGTGCACTCTTTCAACCGGTGCACTCGCATCTTGAACGGTTATGCCGGTGCACCGATGTGAATCGGTGAATCTTAACATCCCTAATAGACATGCATCAGTACACAACTCCTTCCCTTTTTTCCGGTCGATTTCCCCTTCTTCCTCATGTCAAGTGAAGCATAACGTCAATAAACAGCCATTCAAATCACCAACATAGTGTTCTATATTATGTCTAAAATTGGGACCATGTCAACTGTATGTAAAGAGACAATAAAATAACAAATCTACACAAGAATGCTATTTAAGGTACTTCTCATTAAAAGCTACTATGGTTTATAATTTGTCCTTTTATGTGTGTTACACTAAACAGTTCTAAGATAGATAAGGAGTCACTTTAATAAAAATGGATGAGGAATTTTTAACATTTTACCTTCAACGCTTCAGGTGTTATTTAAAGGGGACCTATCATTAAAAATGCACTTTTTGATGTCTTTTATACATAAAGTGTCCCCGGTGCGTCGGGGAACTCACGCAGCGTCAGAAAATAAAACCCTCTCTTTTCCTCCGTACCCAAATCTCTAAAAACGGGGGAACAACGGAGCTGATCCAGATTTGCGTCCGATATGACGTAATATCTGAAATGTGGACCCACGGCCCTATCAGAAACGTTGCTATCAGAAACAATGCCCGACTGTTTTGGACGTAATATGGTCGGTGTTTACATTAGCATGGCTAACACTCAGAGCTAACCTGTACTGGAGAGCATGTGTGTGAAGAAGCAGGAAATAAAAAGGAACTCACCTTGTGGTATAACCGGCAAGAGAGAAAGAGAGCTCCATACTGTTTCAGAAATAATCCTTGATCATCCATGATATGGCGTTTCATCACGGCAGCATTTAGTTTAGACAGTAGCTGCCGGGTCCCGCATGAGCTCAGACCCCTCCCTTTTTTAATCAAATGTTTTATTTTTTTTTAAAGCTTTCTACCCCAAATCAGCACTTTTGAAACAGGAAGTGAAATAGAGGGATATGAGGCATGGCTAGAATGGGTGATCTGTTTGGTATTTTGAGCAAAACACTTCATAGACATGTTTTTTATATATTTGTATATATCTGAGACCTATGCTATTGCCTAAAAATAGCATGATAGGTAACCTTTAATGGAAAACAATAACAATGTTAAGTCAATCCTTAACTGGCTTATGGAATGACATATAAAGACATACATTAGCTTTAATAAATAGGAAATTAAATAACAAATGAAGGAAACTCACGAGAAAGGGACCGGAAAGGCGAACCGCTCCCTCAGGTCGACGCTCATGAAGGGAACATAGGCGATGCCGTTGATGGTAGATGTACTCCTGGAAATTAAGAAGGAGAATATTAGTACAATAAAGTCTGTTCTGTGATAAAAAAAAAAAGTGCTCTTGTAGATGAATGTACAACGTCCCTTCTTATATAAATACAACTTTAGAAAATAATAAGTGTACAGTAGATACTTCAATCATCCTGTCGTGCGTGGGTCTATGTTAAGAAACGGTCGGCACCTTTAGATGTAATAATATCAATATATTAGCTTTCAAACTCTGATCAACAACCCCTTCACATTATTATAATGTGCTCCAATTGTGCTAATGTGTTTAAAGTGTGCTCACAGGATTGCTCTAAATCTAGCACATTTACGTGATGAACTCAAGCGCTCATGTAGATTAATGTTCTTTATTATATGGCTTAGTTGAATACTCGATTCTGATTGGTCAATTCAGAACACGAGACACGTTGTTAATCCAGAACAGACAGACCGCTGTCAAGGATTTATTGGACTGCCTGCAGTTTGCTTTTCGAACTGTTTGCTTGTCTTTAGTTTTCCGTTGTCTACCGTCTGAGAGCAACATGGAGGATTTTAATATTCATTTTAATATATTTGGAGAGCAGTCATTTGGATGAATGGTTAGTGGCTGATGAGTCCCCAGCAAAGAAAATAAAAAGACAAGAGGGACAAGAAAACAGCGGAGAAGTAAGAGAGGCGAAAAGACGGACCACATTATGGGCTATGAAACTATTTAAAAACCGGCTGATTGAAAAAAAACAACCAACAGTTTGACAGCAACGGGGCAGAAACCCTTAACGCGGAGCAACGGTCCAGACAAAGCCTGTCGGGTGTTCTTTTACCCATAATGACAGCCTCGCTGCACATTATCCCTTACATATCCCTTCTAAATTAATACAATTTTGGAAAATAAAAACTTTAATTGTACAGTTGATACTTCAATCATCCTGTCGTGCGTGGGTCTATGTTAAGAACCGGTCGGCTCCTTGAGATGTAATAATATCTAAATCTTTCTGCAGCAGTATCAGAGACTTATGGGCTCTAGCTCACCTGAGCACCTCGATCTCCTCGCCGCTGTAGCGCTGGCCCGACGGCTCGCTGCTCTGCACGGCCCTCACCGGCTGCGGACGCTCCTGGAGGCTGAAGTCCGGCCCGAGGGGGAAGAACTGCCGGGCCGGACCCCCAGAAGAGGAGCTGCTGCTGGGGGGGAGTTTGGATCCAGGAGGGCCCGGTCGGTCCTGAGTGGGAGTGAGTTTGGACTGGGACTCTTTGAGACCCTCCGCCCTGACGGAACAGAGAGGAAAGGTTCATTTTTAATGTCATTGTTAGTTTAACACGTTGAAAGAAACACACAAAAATAAAACAAAGACAACAATGCTTTTGTTAATAAACTGACATGATTTATTTTAAAGGTAGGGTAGGTAAGTTTGAGAAACCGGCTCGAGATACACTTTTTGTTATATTCCATGGAATGCTCTTAACATCCCGATAGCAATGAATATATTAAATGCTTTGACAAAAAATCCATAAAAAAATGTCATCTGTGGAAGCTGTAGTACTGTAAAAAGCACGACCAATCATCTGAGCCGGCCCGGCTAAAATAACTGGATGGCCTACCTGCCTGTCAGCCTTCCATCTGTGCACAAGCTTATCTCGTGCCCTCATTGGTCATGTGCGCGTTCGTGTGTGTTGGAGGAGGGGCTCTGTAAGGAAGTGGCAGATTTTCTCCGGTTGTGTATTTTCAAATTCTAGCGATCTCGAGCCGGTTTCTCAAACTTACCTACCCTACCTTTAAAGTATAACAAGTAAAAGTACTCATTTATGCAGGATAGTCCATTTCAGGATAATGTGTATTTTATGTTTTGATTATAATTATTGATGAATAATATGTTTATCATCGTGTGTTTAAACACTTGATGTTAGCCTAGAGGTCTAAGCATTGGTTTTAGGTTTTAACATGTTTTGCCCTTTTTTAATTGTACATTATATCTATGTTAAATCACTTATAAATGAATATGCTTCATGTTTACGGAAGACAGGAGAAATTGTCTGTGATTGGTTGATCGTTTATTGAAAGTGAATACAGTTCATACAAATGCTGAGTTAGTTTTCCTTGCTGTTAAAGTCTGAAATATTCTTATTTTTCATACAATTCCTCAAAGGCTCCTAGATAGGAATAAAGTCCTTCGGTTTTCCATTAAGATGACAGTAATTTTCTCTAGGGAAAAAATTGAAATGATAAAGAAATCAATTATACTAAGTAATTAAACTAATATCTGGTTTATTTCTTATATATTGTTCTGCTTGTGAGCCCAAGAGTGATGCAACTACAACAAGAAAACAAATCAGGATGAGTTGAAATGAACTGAAAAGCAAATCAGATCTCAAAGACTAGGATTATGGGAGAGAAAATACATTTTAGTCATCGAGATATAACGATATGGAATTTAACATAAAAAGTACCCTACTTCTTCTACACATACTGCCATTAAAGTATCCTCCATTAAAGGTCACCTATCATGCTATTTTAGGCAATAGCATAGGTTTCAGATATACAGTATAGAAAATATATAAAAAACATGTCTATGAAGTGTTTTGCTCAAAATACCAAACAGATCACCCATTCTAGCCATGCCTCATATCCCTCTATTTCACTTCCTGTTTCAAAAGTGCTGATTTTGGGGTATAAAGCTTTAAAAAAGAAAATAATTGATAAAAAAGAGAGGGGCGGAGCTCATGCGGGAGATTCTACCGGCAGATAATGCGGTGATGAAACGCCATATCATGGATGATCAAGGATTATCTCTGAAACAGTATGGAGCTCAAAGGCTTTCTCTCTTGCCGGTTATACCACAAGGTGAGTTCCTTTTTATTTCCTGCTTCTTCACACACATGCTCTCCAGTACAGGTTAGCTCTGAGTGTTAGCAATGCTAATGTAAACACCGACCATATTACGTCCAAAACAGTCGGGCATTGTTTCTGATAGCAACGTTTCTGATTGGCCCGTGGGTCCACATTTCAGATATTACGTCATATCGGACGCAAATCTGGATCAGCTCCGTTGTTCCCCGTTTTTAGAGATTTGGGTACGGAGGAAAAGAGAGAGGGTTTTATTTTCTGACGCTGCGTGAGTTCCCTGACACACCGGGGACACATGTTGATGTATAAAAGTGCATTTTGCATGATAGGTCCCCTTTAAGAGACACAACTATGGAAAACAAAAGAAAAGAGACACAAAATCTAGAAAAGGGTGCATAAAAAATAAAAATCACGCTGCTTCTGAAACGCTTTCATGGCTGGGATGTGAAATATGTGATGTCAGGTGACTTTAAACAGGAAGTGCTTTACCTTTCTAAAGCTTGACGAGCCAGCTGCTTCAGTTTGATCTGCAGCGCCTGGTCCGAGGTCTCGTTCGACTACAAACACAGAAGAAGGGGATTGTTAGAGCCAGTATTTGGATTTTATAAGAAAGGTCACCTAATTGTCACATCTGTAGTCAACCAGAGTATAAAAGACTACAATTCCCACGGCGTTGAGGCACAGTTTTTAACCATTCACTTATATAAGCCTTAACAAGAAAGAAAGCAAGAAAGAATCCCTAAGTCAGGGTTCATACACTTTTTCACCAATGACTTCTCCATGACTTCTCCAGGACCTTTACCTAATTTTCCATGACCAAAATAATGACTCTTTCTCAGCGGTACCACTGAAAATGGTTTATTTTAACATGGAACAGGAAAATAAGGTCTGAAACATGTTGTGCCTATCTAAAGCAAATCAAATAGGCTTACTAGCTTCTACACGCTAAAGCAACTCAAATCTCCAGCAAAATACCTCGTCAGTTAAATGCCATTTTATGTTTCATGACTATACGATACAGTATTTATTATCATTATAGTATTACTATTTCGGCGATTAGATCAAATATAAATTATATTTGATGCAACTTTAGTTTAGTTTTCCATAACTTTCCCAGGGCCTGGAATTAGCATTTTGAATTTCCATGACTTCTCCAGGTTTTTAATGACCGTAAGAACCCTGCTAAGTTATTTGTTATTTTAGTTGAGCTTTGCCTCTTTGTTTTGACTATTGTAAAGGCCTCTTTTCTTTGTTGCATGTGTAAAAGTTTGTTATTTTATTTTGAGCAAACCCATCGCTTAATATCATCCAAACAATCGGAGGCAAAGCAACTCATCAACTGTGAGTAATATAAATATAAAGGAAAGAAAACGAGTTAAAAATGTCTGTTTAAGGCGTCGAGTGGCTTGATAGAAAGGAAGCCAGAGATAATGTGAGGTTTTTAAGAAGTTAGAGACAGAGGGGTGAGTATCAGGGTGTCTTACCATTTCACCCCTTTCCCAATTCCCATTCATGTATTTGTTTGTAGGCAGATCATGCAGGCCAGCCACTGGAGGTGTAGACATAGTTTCTGACAGAAACTGCTTTGAGGAATGGCACAACTAACCTTGACAAAAAGCGCCATTACTTTTTTTGTAAATATTGTAGATACATTTTGGTGCTTTGAAATATTTTCTTTTTTCCCCATCGTCACCAAGACTTGAAATAACACTTTTCTGATGTCTAGAGACGTGAAAGACTACTTTTCACTGTGAGATTTGAATAGATTTCTGAGTGATAACATTTTCGTCGTTTTTGTACTTATGGTCTCATAACTATTTGTACATCCATGTGACATCCCTGTAGCCTACATGTGCTGATAGCTTAGCTTGTGATGAAAAATAACATTGATTATGCAGCACATGGTTAATGTTTAAATACATGTTTTACAAGAAAAGTCCAGACGAGCCAAACATATGAAAAAAGGGCTCAGGCCTCAGAGGGTTAACGGACAGGGGCGGAATGAGGAATGGGAATAAACCGAGTATCAGAGAGAGAGAGATACCGTGTTAATGCACAGCTCCACAGCCTGAGTGTACAGCTCCACGGCTTCATCGTCGTTCCCCTTCTCGTCTTCCTCGAAGGCCTGAGTGACCAGGAAGTGAGCGCGCTCCAGGTCCAAATGCTGCCGGGACTTCAGCGGGTCGCTCTTCTGGGCCTGGACTGGGGTCAAAGGTCAAAGAGATGGAGTGGTTAGGACGTAAAACAGACACATTTAAAAAGTGTTATACAAAAGCCTTGAAGCAAATCCTTCCTTCAGAGAGGTGTTGATTCAACTTTATAGTCATTTTGTGCTCGTGTTGAAGTGTATTGTGTGATATTGTGAGGTTGTTTATGATATTTTATTATCTTTAATTGTTGTTTATTATCAATGAGGGTAGACTGATTTGGTTTAAAGAGGCCCTATTATGTTTTTTGTGGTCTTCTCTTTCCAGTGGTGAGTTATATTTATAGGTTTTGGTTCATGTAAATGGTCTGCAAAGAGTAAAATCACAAAGCTTCCTCCAGAGGGAGTTCCTCTAACACATTGTACGTGATAGGGTTAGAATTGGGACATCTCTAAGCGGTTGACCAATCCCAACAGAGCCGGCCAGCTAACCAATCAGAGCAGACTGGGCCCTGGTTTCAGACAGAGGGTGAAAAGAGGTGCTGCAGCACAGGCAGTATGAGAAAAATAAAGAGCTTTCTGAACATTAAAGCATGGAGACATGTAGAGACACTACATACTGATATACACCTGAACATCAGCAGAAGAGGACTCTTTAAAGTAGAGACACTACATACTGATATACACCTGAACATCAGCAGGAGAGGACTCTTTAAAGTAGAGACACTACATACTGATATACACCTGAACATCAGCAGGAGAGGACTCTTTAAAGTAGAGACACTAAATACTGATATACACCTGAACATCAGCAGGAGAAGACTCTTTAAAGTAGAGACACTAAATACTGATATACACCTGAACATCAGCAGGAGAGGACTCTTTAAAGTAGAGACACTACATACTGATATACACCTGAACATCAGCAGGAGAGGACTCTTTAAAGTAGAGACACTAAATACTGATATACACCTGAACATCAGCAGGAGAAGACTCTTTAAAGTAGAGACACTACATACTGATATACACCTGAACATCAGCAGGAGAGGACTCTTTAAAGTAGAGACACTACATACTGATATACATCTGAACATCAGCAGGAGAGGACTCTTTAAAGTAGAGACACTACATACTGATATACACCTGAACATCAGCAGGAGAGGACTCTTTAAAGTAGAGACACTACATACTGATATACACCTGAACATCAGCAGGAGAGGACTCTTTAAAGTAGAGACACTACATACTGATATACATCTGAACATCAGCAGGAGAGGACTCTTTAAAGTAGAGACACTACATACTGATATACACCTGAAAATTAGCATAAAAGGGGCCCCTTTAAAAGGTAAGGCTCAGATTGAACTAAAGCTACTTCCTGTAACCAAATCAGGAAACCATAATAGGAAAAATATATATTTGACATTACTGCCGGGATAAAGAATTAAAAATTTAAAAAGTGTTAGAAAGGTTATAACAATTAGAAAAGAAATCAACGTCAGGCCTATTCAGAGCTGCTGGGACATCAAGTGTTAGCCTGCAAACACGACACTCCCACAGACTGTGGTCACACCCATGTCTACACACACACACATACTGTACACACACACACACACACCCATATTGTGAGGAGAGTCATGGAGAACAGTAGTCAGACTGACACTGAGAAAGTATGTCATCAGGGCCCATTAAGAGGCCTGAACTCTTCCTCACTTATTACTAATCACAACACGTCACCTCTGCAGGACTTCAGATCAGATTAGATTATCTTCATGTGAACAGTAGGGAGGGATTACAAATAAAATGTAATGAGTAGAAGTTGAAACACTCTGGAAACAGAGGCAGAAAAATAACCCCCTGCTGATCATGCCTAACAGAAACACTTAAATGTAAGACACAGCCAAAGGTTTTCCTTCCATGATGTCCATGTTGACTATCTGTTGGTCTTCTGTGTTATTAAAAGCATGTATTGTGTGAAAACAATGATGCCGTTCATCTTTGTATCTAGCTTTGCAAGCATGCACATTAATATCCAGTGTCAACAACATGCTGATGATGAGTGTATGTCCAATGACAAAGAAAGCCTCAATGTTCCTGCAAACCAGTTAAACAAGTTATTGCTTTACAGGAGTAGAAACAGCATTAAAAACAAAAAAATAATCTCAGTTTTGGGGAATGTAGATCTGTCAGACTTGGACACAGCATTTGTTTATGAATCCAATGTTGTGCAATACTTCATAATGTGAAATATTGACCAAAATGCATCGGAGAGCAATAAACGAATTATAGAAATATCAAATGAATCTGCAATGCATTTGTATAATGGATGAGTGAGACATAACAATTATTTTTGTCAGTAACAGTTAAAGGTAGGGTAGGTAAGTTTGAGAAACCGGCTCGAGAGACACTTTTTGTTATATTCCATGGAATGCTCTTAACATCCCGATAGCAATGAATATCTTAAGTGCTTTGACAAAAAATCCATAAAAAAATGTCATCTGTGGAAGCCGTAATACTGTAAAAAGTACGACCAATCATTTTAGCCGGCCCGGCTAAAATAACTGGATGGCCTACCTGCCTGTCAGCCTTCCATCTGTGCACAAACTTATCTCGTGCCCTCATTGGTCATGTGCGCGTTCGTGTGTGTTGGAGGAGGGGCTCTGTAAGGAAGTGGCAGATTTTCTCCGGTTGTGTATTTTCAAATTCTAGAGATCTCGAGCCGGTTTCTCAAACTTACCTACCCTGCCTTTAAGTAAGCAAACATATAGTAAAATGTGTGTCCTGTGCAAATCTTTGACCTACAATCTGTCTTATATTCACTCTTATGACAAAAACTATGCACATCGGAATAACACAGTGGACCCCGAGTGTTTCGTCAGGTGAGTTTACCTGCATTATGGAGGGCTTGGACTCGATCCAGATACTCGTTCACTTTGACCTGGATCCCCTCCAGTTTGGACCCGGCCATCCCAGAATATATCAGGGCCTGGGCTGCCTCCTGGAGCAAAACAAAACCCAGACGGACCAAGTTATTAATTGTCAAATGAACATTAATGAAGCAGTCTTTGGCCTAGGGCTGTGCGATTATGGCAAAAAATCATAATCACGATTATTTTGGTCAATAATTGATATCACGATTATTAAATACGATTATTCATTGACTTTGAAAACATCCATTTATTGAACTTTAAAACAAATACAAATAATAATTTGAACAGTATCTTATAACTGTTGATTACCCTGAACGTATAATTCAACTGAAAAACTTTAAATAAATAATATCAAAATAATAAATACCAATAAACAAGATCAACAAATATTTTGGAGCGCACTTCCAAAAGCTACTTATCATATATAAAAATATGATAAATACAAATAAATTAGACCAAAATTAATTAGATCAAATATGTTGTAGTGCACTGTCACAACCTAGCAAAGCTAAATAATTGTTTAATTCGATTATGTTGTTTTCGTAATTGTGGCAGGCCAAAATCGTAATTGCGATTAAAATACGATGAATTGCACAGCCCTACTTTGGCCTTTAAAACCCCTGGTCCCTACTACAATAAGGATTCAAAAATGATGTGTCATGCAAACAACACATTTTAATCTACAACATAAAATAATGCAGAGGTTAAAATAATAAATATGTGTGATGGATAAAAATTGCAAAATGTTCAACTAAAATAAATAAAATATTCAACCTAAATTCAGTTTTATTTTCCCCAGTTAGTAAAAGTTTTTATAGAATGAGCGACAACATTTAGGTATTATTATTTAGTAACAGTTTCTAAGCTTTATCATGAATTAAGGTTAAGGAAACTAGGTGAACTCTTAAGTGAAAAGCTACATTATTCACGTAATACATATTCGCAAAATTTAAAAAATGATAACTTAAGGTTCATCAAATAAGTCTTAAACATTGTTTTTTTTTGTTAGCTGTTTTCTTGTTCATAAAGCAGTTATATTGTATAAGGCAAAGTGGCAGTATAAAGGAATCATACAGTGACAGTCCCAACGCTTTGTACAAATGAAAGTTCCTTGTTATTGTTAACAGAAGATCAAGCACAGCCTGAAGAGACAAGCTAAATGATGGGAGTGAAAGTAAAAGTTTACCTGTAGCAAGGTGCAGCTAAGTGCTAACTTTGGCAGCTACCTGTCAGGTTGAAACGTATTTCCACTTACCTTATAATAGAATACAGCCTCATTGTATTTGCCACTCTGGTCATAGGTGACAGCTGTTTTGGCAAATTTGAAAGCATCGATCTCCAGCGCCGTGCAGTCCATATTGAACTAAGTGTTGACAAAGTGACAAGCTAGCTAACTGCTAACGTCAGCTAGCTTTCATTCACCAAAAATAACCAAATATCTGTCCTTTCCTCGAAACACAGTTCGTTTCATCAACTCGGAGAGAACATAGTGAAGGTTATCCTGATGAGCGAGGTTAATCCAGGGGTGAAAGCTGGCTAGTTTATGTGTTGTTTTACCTTTTGACAGATGACTGTTTTACTAGCCGATACCAAAACAACCATGTTGTTTCCGGGAGACACGATTCGCGCATGCGCACATTGGAGTGTGTTCTATTCACGTGAGTAGGAAATAAGGTAGATACTTTTTGATCCAAAATTGGGAAATGATTGTGTTACAGCAGCAGTGTGTTTAGGCATTTCAATATTTAAAAGGTGGAATAAAGTATAGGCATAATAAAATACAAAATATAATACAAAATAAACGATCAACCAATCACAGACAATTTCTCCTGTCTTCCGTAAACACCTGTCTTCAGTGTATTATTGAACAGTTACATTTTAACAGCAGGGCCAACTTTAGCCAAAGATCTGTACAGTGTTTCCACTTTATAGAACATTTGATAAGCGATACAAATATCTTATCGAAACAGTTCGTTTAAGTTAGAAATATATGGAAGAATCAATACCTCAAACACAAAACGTTCTTCGGATACAAGACTTAACCACCCTAGTAAAGTAGTCATTGAGCTTTTAACCTTATTTCTATCAAAACAAAGCATATTAGCGCTGTCCTCCGAGCTGCACAACTTCTATCTGCAGGGACCGTCTACAAAGTGCAACACTGAAACATGATGAAACAAAAATATGACATAACTTCCCTTCTCATTTAGCAAAGTTCTACCAAAATTAAAGATTGTATTACTGGTAGGGAACTGTAAGCACATGAACATTAAGGAACTACTGTACATCATTGGAAGTATGAAGCATATTCATTTATAAGTGATTTAACATAGATATAATGTACAATTAAAAAAGGGCAAAACATGTTACCCTAAAACCAATGGTTAGACCTCTAGGCTAACATCAAGTGTTTAAACACACGATGATAAACATATTATTCATCAATAATTATAATCAAAACATAAAATACACATTATCCTGAAATGGACTATCCTGCATAAATGAGTACTTTTACTTGTTGTACTTTAAAGGTAGGGTAGGTAAGTTTGAGAAATTATGATTGGTCGTGCTTTTTACAGTATTACGGCTTCCACAGATGACATTTTTTAATGGATTTTTTGTCAAAGCACTTCAGATATTCATTGCTATCGGGATGTTAAGAGCATTCCATGGAATATAACAAAAAGTGTATCTCGAGCCGGTTTCTCAAACTTACCTACCCTACCTTTAAGTATATTTTGATGCTTATACTGTACTTATGGAGTAGGATTTTGTAACAAAGTATTCCTACACTCTGGTACTTACTTTTACTTAAGCATAGTAGTAGTAAGAGTAGCCTACTTCTTCCACCTCTGAGTATAAAGATATATCTTTATAAATGTATAGACTATAGATACAAATCCAAAAGCTTGCTTGGTTGCACACAGAATAGACATACTTCATTAAATAGGTACACTAAAAAAATATCATATTGCCTTACCCCAGGATTCCACCGGGTCCGTCTGCGTCGCGTCACGGCTGCGCCACGGTTTTGGTCCGGCCTCCTACGGCGTCATAACCTACCGGGCGCATTTCAGGAGTGTTTCAGAAGCGCTTCAGAAGCGCAGAGTCTTGCCTGCCGGCTCGCAGTTTTTGTTGATTTGGGCATACTTCCTGGACAGGCTACTTTGTACAGACAAAGTTAATAATAATTGGAATATTCCAGTTATAAAACGATATGAATCAAAGATGTGTTGCTGTATTTTTGTGGTAAAAAAATGCATTCATCATCATAATTATTCTATATATAATTTACACAGTGCCTGTAAACTGGAGGAGAACGCTGGCATTTCTCCTCCTACTTGAAAGACTACGGAGGGATAGGGTCTGCAAAATTAATTTATTTTGGGGATGGGCCGGATGCTCTGACCATTCCACTTCCTGCCCGGCGCCTCTGCAACGCCTCATGTCGAAAATAGACTTGCATTCTATTTTGAGCGGAGCCCAGCGCCGAGACGCTTCTGAGCCGTAACGCGGCGCCTCTGGTGGAATAGCACCCATTAGGCGCTTTCACACCGCAGTACTTTTCCCACAAAGGTTCATCAGAACTTAGTTCATGATAACTCTTTAGTTCTCATGAACTACTGTAAGTACAGATCGCGTTCACACCGGAATAAGTTCCTGGGGGAGGATTAGGCAAATGAAGCCGCTGACGTCACTTCTTCTTCTTCTGCTTTGGGTTTACTGGCAGGCCGCAAACAACTTCAGGGCGTATACTGCCACCCGAAGTCCCCGGCCGGAAGTCCCCGGAGTTGTGGACTGGCTTCAGTAGAAGCTGCTGGGACTCCCAGCAGCTTCTACTGAAGCCTCCCGAGTAAATCGCCAGAACACCGACACCTCCTCATCTCCACCGCTCCCATGTTTTCTTTTGTGTTGCCATAAGTTAGTCTCTCTGCGTTTGTACGCTGGGCTAATGCTAATGCTAATAATGCTAATGCGAGGATAATAAAATGGCGGCTTCACAAAACCTTTTTGGAGTTTTACGGGTGGTTTGCATTCCGCCCAGCCAATCAGAAATAGGAACCTTTTTCTCCCACGAAAGTCCCTGCTCTCTAGCAGGGACGGAAAAGGGGGTAAAAAGGTTCTCATTAACTAATTTTAGTTCCGGATTTTTTTGGTGTGAACGCAACATTTCGGAACTATATCGGAACTAAAGTGGGAAAAGTACTGCGGTGTGAAAGCGCCTATTGACGAGTAGCCGCGATTCGTTGCGAACGGCACGGCACAGCCGTAACGCGGCGTTCGCAACGAATCGCGGCCACTCGTCAATAACGCAACACAGACGGATCCGGTGAAATCTAGGAGTGCACGCTTTATTTTTGTTCATGTGTTACTGATTTGTGAGGAAATAACTACAACACAGTGGGACTAAAACACAAATTAACTTCTAGATAAAGCACACACATAACTCTTATCTCTACATATTAAAATGTGAAAACATCACAATACAAATTCTTAAGAAAACAGCTCTGAACTAATTATGTTAAAACCAAAGATGTAGTGACTCCTATTGGCCAACATAAAGCAGCGTTTTAAAACAATTTCCCAAAAAGCAAACTGAGTTTTGGTCCTTTTATATCAAATGATCACTATATACTGATATGATAAATTAGGTTACTGCATCTCTGAACAAGTAAAAGAAAAGCATATGTAAGAGTAGAAGTATGACTGCAGTGTTTAAACAGATAGAGCTTTCTTCTGGCAGATCCATCTTCGTTTCTCTTCACAGCTCACTGATGACCATGTTGTGTTGCGCCAGACAGAGACTGCACAGTGACCCTCAGTAGGTGGGTCTATCCAGGAGCTGAGGAAAAAATATGAAGTTTAGATAAAGGCTGATAGATGTTTATGATTCAAAATGTTTAGTAACGTGTCTCTTACCTATTAGTCAGATCACTTCCATCTTCCCACTTCCATTGCTTATTTACAACTCTCAGACCAGTCCAGCTTCCATCAGTTGATATACTGTAATAATTGATGATGTTCTGACAACAGAGAAACAGTCATCAGGTATTTAAATATAATACTCAACTCAACATGTTATGAGATAGATATATACTGTAGGTATGGAATGTAGGTAGGTAGATAGATAGATAGATAGATAGATAGATAGATAGATAGATAGATAGATAGATAGATAGATAGATAGATAGATAGATAGATAGATAGATACTTTTTCATTACATAATTGTGTTACCTTTTCCTTTTCATTATGTGCGGCAGCCAAATATGCATTAAGCGCTCTGCAGTATTCTCGAGCTTCTTCCCAGGTTAACCACTCTGTAGGGTCAGGGTTATAGGCCGAATAGCAGCTCGGCCCGTAGGGTAACCAGTTCTTCTCACAAGGTTGACACAGTTTCCCTGAAACAACAGAGACCAACCCATTATCCACATGACTGCTTTGTAATTGTGATGATTATTATTTAATTTTTGTGATATATATTTGTTAAATGGCAAAAAATAAAGCACATTTCAACAACAAGGCACTTTAAAGTACTGTTAACAAATAATTAAAGGAGTAAACCATAATGCAAAACAAACACAATATATAATGACATTTAAACTAGTGATGTCAATCGATAAAAAGTTGTAAACACGATATTCACTAAAACGACTAATCACGATTAACCACAAGTTAAAACTACTAGTATTTACTTGTATTTTGGAGGGTAATAAAACAAATACAGGTGTGGCGTTGTAATAAAAACATACCTCCACCCTGTTTGCAGTACTCATTGATGCTCCACTGAGCTCGACTGACGTTGAGCTCATTCCAGTTCGTCTCCATTTCTTGTATTTGCTTTGTCAAGCCATCCTTCTGTGATGTCAGCTTCAGGATTTCTGCAGTCTGCTTGGAGTTGTCTTCAGAAAGTTCAGAGGTAACTACAGAGACAGACAGAGGAAGGTGTTGGGCTGTGAAGCTTCTCTTTAAATGTTCTTAATAGATATTGAAGAATGGGTTCACATGTTTGAATCTATCTTGAATCAATAGACAAGTGCTCATATGAACACGTGAACAACCGCCTTGTTTGGTGCAAAATGATATTCTAAACTTTACCTGAGGATTATGGGAAGTTCTGGTAGTCTACAGTGCGTTTGTTAACTCAAGTACTTGAAATATCAGACACTGAAATACATCTTTGCACTGGGCCAGTTTGAACATAAGGAAGAATAAGTCACGGCGCTTACGGAACAGGAACAACTGTGACATTTTAAAATGCGGCTTTTTGCCCAATTGGCAAAACAAGCAAACACCTTCACACACGCTTCACGCCAAATGTCAGCTTCCTATTGCAAAATGTGTGGCAGCAAACGAGAGGGGAGATGTTGAATCGACAGACAGAGTTACAGAGCTTCAGGTCACATTTAATACAAACTGTTGAACTGACATTCACACAGAAGATACTCACAGTAGATACGAAGACCCATGATGGCTAACAGTATGATCCAACACACTGCTATTGGAAGAAAAAACCTCAAGCCTGAAAAATAAGGATTCAGTTAAAAAACCTTAACAAAGGTTCCGAAAGGTTTCAAAGGTTTTAAAGTCATATACACAGATACAGTTTAGTCTAAAAACTGAGGTCGCTGGTTGGTTAAAACATGCAATATATAAACATATAAAATACTTAAAACCCTTAAGTAGTGCAAGCTCAGGAGTTTAGTAGTCTTACAGTATGGCCTAAAATAATTTAACAGGCTAAGCTAATGCTTTCAATACATTATAAGCATACCACAAAAATAGCTTAGTAATTGTAACCTTTGTCACTATCTCACTGTTTTACCTTTATGTTTGTTTTTTTAAACATGTTAAAAGTATTGAATAGTGAAATGTATTGATCATGCACCTGGAGGGGATGCCTTTGTATCCACAGTGCCTTCTGGTGCAGCTCCTATTTTGGTGTCCTCTGAAAAAAATAGACGTAATGGGTTATGTTTTTATGAAGTTTATCAGAATCAGAAACAGGGTTATTACCAGGTAGGTTGACACATAGGAGGAATTTGACTTGGTGTTGTGGTACATACATACATACAAATAAAACACAGATAGAAAACAATTTTAAGAAAACTATAATAACATACATTTTTCTTTTTCAATACTAAAATACATATATTTTACATGTAAAACTGCTATAGCAGTATTTACATTGAGTATGGTTGAAATCACAGAAATAGAATTGTAATAAATTATGTGCAGTAATGAAAAACAAGACATTGTATACATTGTGTGCATTGATGTGTATTTAACTCCCAATATAATCAAACTTCAAAAACCATTGGACAAAAGATGGATTTTATAATGGCTATCAGCAAATACACTGCTATTGGTGGAAAATGAATTGAATAATAGGGGCCTCTGGACTGAGTAACGTAACTGAACATGAATTAACAGTTAAAGGTAGGGTAGGTAAGTTTGAGAAACCGGCTCGAGATACACTTTTTGTTATATTCCATGGAATGCTCTTAACATCCCGATAGCAATGAATATCTGAAGTGCTTTGACAAAAAATCCATAAAAAAATGTCATCTGTGGAAGCCGTAATACTGTAAAAAGAACGACCAATCATCTGAGCCGGCCCGGCTAAAATAACTGGATGGCCTACCTGCCTGTCAGCCTTCCATCTGTGCACAAACTTATCTCGTGCCCTCATTGGTCATGTGCGCGTTCGTGTGTGTTGGAGGAGGGGCTCTATAAGGAAGTGGCAGATTTTTTCCGGCTGTGTATTTTCAAATTCTAGCGATCTCGAGCTGGTTTCTCCAAAATTACCTACCCCACCTTTAATATAAAAAGAAAAAGAGCTGATTTAATATTCACGTTTGTAACCTTCATCACTATTTTATTTAAATAACATGACTGTTGAATAAATATCATGTTTACTTGTGTTCACAGCTCACCTGGACGCGTTGCCTTTGTATCCACAGGGCCTTCTGGTGCATTCACATAGTCAGCTTCTTCTGTGATTTCCTCTGGAAGATAAACACATACTGTTTCATCAGATATGCAGTTTCACTCCCATTATGTTCAGCATGCATGAGGAACCATTTCACTAAATGATGGAGTTTATAATCAAACTCAACGATGTCAAATGAGTTGCTGTCACGCAAAGAACAGAGCAGAAAAGCAGAACTAAAAACACACGGAGAAGTGTATCATACTGACTTTTTATAACGAGATTAAAGACCAATTAGACAAACTCAAATCTTATAAATAAAACAATGTTATTGTTGAAAATGGAGCACATTTTGTATTTAGTACAATAGTTCATCATGTCAATCAATCAATCAATGTTTATTTATATAGCCCAATATCACAAATGTTACATTTGTCTCAGTGGACTTCACAGTTTGTACAGAATATCAGTATGACAATACGACACCCTCTGTCCTTAGACCCTCACTTCGTACAAGGAAAAACTTCCAGAGAAAACCCCACAGTTTAAAGGGGAACATGGGAGAAACCTCAGGGAGAGCAACAGAGGAGGGATCCCTCTCCCAGGACGGACAGACGTGCAATAGATGCCGTGTGTAAATCGAAGAGATAATACATTTTACAGCGTAGGTAGACCAAATGTTTGGAAATGCATGTGTCTATAATAAGAAGATGAATCCACGAGGATGTCAACAATCCTGTGGGAGCCATCAGGGAAGTAGTATGATGAGAGTCAGGCAGGACCACAGTGACAGGTTCAGCCACGACTCGAAGTCCAGGACTCAAATCCAGAACTCAGGATAGAGGATCCAGGACACAGGACCACAGCAACAGGATCAACAACGACTCATGCGTGGTTAACATATTGATAAGCTTCTTCCTTAATTCACTCTAAAAAAATCTCCAAATGCATTAAACATTATGTCTCTATGTTCAGCAGAGTTGATCAATTATAATTGTAAAGATTCAATCTTAAATGAATTTGGATATTTAAAATAATTTGCTGCTAGGGAGTGGTCAAGCCTCAGAAGCAACTTACGCATATATGGTCATACATAGCAGAACATGTTGGTAAAGGCAAAGAAAAACATATCATAGGATGTATCTTAGACACACACACACACACACACACACACACACACACACACACACAAACACACACACATAAACTCTGGAATATTCTTTAATTACCCATATCCTCGATTATTTTTCCTTTCGTCCTGAACAAAGTCCTGCTGCAGTCCTGATGAGAGCGTCTCTCTGATGTGACGGTTCAGTAGACTTCTGCTTCGACGTGGAGATGGCATCTTTTTAATCTCCTGTTCTCATGTCATGTTGACACTTCCCAAATAGTTTCAACCGGAACTTGAAAACGTGTGGTCCTCTCACAGAGTTTTAATAGAGTCACACATCCCAAATATTGGATTTCCCAACGATATAATCATATTAACTGCAATCTGGATCTCAATTGGATTTCTAGGCTGTAAAAATGTATGTTTAGTCACCAAAATGCTCTCAATGCCACTTCCTGTCCCTCTCTGGAGCTCTGCTAGTGACTGAATATTGAGGCCTTATTTCCTTTTGCCTGATTTTCATAAAACATGTTACATCATCGTGAATAAGATGTTCCACCTGACTTGATTAAGCCTACTGATGTTTTCAAGAAAAAGACAAAAAGCAATGTTCGGCAGCACATTTATTCACAGGTGACAACAGAGTTGCTTATAGATAGGGATGAACTAAGATAGCAGTTAACAACCAGCTACGCAACTAAATACATCACAGCACTTATGGAAACAGACTCTAGAACATTCCTGTTGAGACGAAGTAAGGCAGCGCCCTCTGTTGGCCGTGCATAAGCAAAAATATAACATCTCATGAACTTTCACACATCTGTAAATGTTAAGCATTGGATCTCTCGTAAAGAAGAAGAAGAAGAAGAAGAGCGTCGTCCTGCAACAGAAAAACAATTTTAACAACTCCCAAAGAATAAATGTTTAGGAAAGTAATAATGGCATTCAATTTGCAAGGCCTAAGAAGAGTTGATATAATCATACATTATACATAATTCATTTCTTATTTTAGCAGTTTTACCTGTATATCATTTAAATTGTAATTGTATCTTTAATTGTATTAATCTTGTGTGCATCTGTGCTGTCCTGTTTTTCACTCACACTCTGTTGCTGCTTAAATTCCTGAAATTCCCCACAAGGATTAATAAAGGTCCATCTTGTCTTATCATATCTTATTTTATCATACACACATTATCTTTTCAAAGCGTATCCAGTTACATTCTCAACTTCTTATGCTTAGCTGAGTTCGACTGATGTTGAACTACCTCCAGTGTGTCGTCATTCTCCTGTATCTACTCTGTGAAGTCGTTCTTCTGGGCCTCCAGCTCCTGGTTACGTACGTCATCTCATGGTTTGCTGTGGTCATCTCATGGTTTGCTGTGGTCATCTCATGGTTTGCTGTGGTCATCTCATGGTTTGCTGTGGTCATCTCATGGTTTGCTGTGGTCATCTCATGGTTTGCTGTGGTCATCTCATGGTTTGTTGTGGTCATCTCATGGTTTGCTGTGGTCATCTCATGGTTTGCTGTGGTCAGCTGATGGTTTGCTGTGGTCATCTCATGGTTTGCTGTGGTCATCTCATGGTTTGCTGTGGTCATCTCATGGTTTGCTGTGGTCATCTGATGGTTTGCTGTGGTCATCTGATGGTTTGCTGTGGTCATCTCATGGTTTGCTGTGGTCATCTGATGGTTTGCTGTGGTCATCTCATGGTTTGCTGTGGTCAGCTGATGCTTTGCTGTGTTCAGCTGATGCTTTGGTGTAGTCAGATCCCAGAATCCAGCAGACATGTTTTTGACCTTGATTTCTAAGACCCTATTAGCTTCTTTCAGGTTGCCCAACTTGAGCGTCAGCATCTCGTTGTCCCTGGTCAAGTTTCTATTCTCAAATCCGAGGTTGTTGATGAGGTTTGTCAGGTTACGATTGACGGCCAGTAGATTTGAGATCTCTTTTAGCTGGTTATGCTCACTCTCATGGTTTACTGTATCAACTGCAAAATAAAAAACATGGCTTCTTAATCATAGTGATAATGCAATTCAGTTTTTTATCAAAGCGCCTCTCTTGGAAGCTTTTTTTATATCCATCTCATCTGTTTTCAACAAATCCCTCGCAAAGACAAATAGCTAAATTCACAATTGATCTGCTTGTTTTGCTCTCAGGTTTTGGATTTCTGCAGTCAGCTTGACATCATTTGCAGATATTAAAAAGGTAACTACAGAGATAGACAGAGGAAGGTGTCGGGCTGTGATGATTTTGTGGACGTTTATGATCATAAAAGATATTTGAGAGTGGGTTCCCATGTTATAATCTATCTTTAAACAATAATCAGGTGCCCATGTGAACATTGACTGTTTAGAAGTTACCAATAAGGATCAACACAAACACACATCTTCAATGAACTGACATTCATATCTATAATGTACTCACAGTGGATACGAAGGCCCACGATGGCTAACAGTACGAGCCAACACACTGCTATCAGAAGAATATTCTGAGTGAAGAAGAGAAACCACCAACCTGGAAAATAAGAATTCAGTTAAAGAATCTAAACAACAACATTTCACAGTCAAAGAAGCTTTAAAATGTGGATTGTTTTGTGTTCATAATGCACCTGGACGGGTTCTCTTTTTATCCACAGCGCCTCTTGAGGCATTAACATAGTCAGCTTCTTCCTGTTCTTCAATTTCCTCTGAAAGATAAACACATTATTTATATTGTAATGCAGTTTTACTCCCAGTGTGTTGAGCATCCATGAGGAACCATTGCACTGAAAGGTGGATTTTATCATTTGTAAAGTTTGAATGTATAATAAACGTTCTGGTCACGCTGACAAAGCATGACGTTCATCTCCAGTCACAGATATTAATCTAAAGCAGAACTAAAAACCACACACAGAAAATTGTTCTGTTCTCACGCTGACATTTTCTTTAAAATAACAAACAAATATCTTTCTGCTGAAACTAAAAACCATTAGACAAACTAAAATCTGACTTTTTTAAATAATCAAATTGATTTTGTCAAATGAAGGTGTTGATACATCGCCAGCTTATCACTCAATTTATTCTGAGAGAAACAAATGCATTTAATTTATAATTCTGTGTTTATCAGAGTTTGAAAATCACAATTTTAAAGATCACATTTTAAATAAATGTTGTTATTTTAAACACTTTGTTGCTCAGATCTTATCAAGCATCAGAAACAGTATAAATAGGAAAGAATGTAGACAATGTCTTGGTAAAAGAAAAAAGCAATGTTTTACACTCACTCACATACAAATTAGAATATATTTAATTACCCATTTCCTGCTGAGTTCTTCTGTTCATCGTGGACAAGAGTCTGAAGTCCTGCTGCAGACCTGAGGCTGTTAGAGAGCGTCTGCTCTGATGTGACGCTCTTTAGTCGACTTCTGCTCTGAGGTTATGGTGTGAAGTTTTAATGTAGGTCAGTGCCAGACACGTTGCAACCTATCAAATAGTTTTGACCTTATTTGGCTTGATTAAAACGTACTGACAACGTCAACGAGCGATATGAAAGCAAACGACCAAGACAAATGATATGTATGGAGGGGGGGAGGAGGGGACCCAGGATGGAGCCCTGTGGGACCCCAGGGATGAGTTGCTGAAGGTGAGAAACAATTGTAGCGACCAGAGAGGGGGGGGGGGGATATATCCAATCTTTGATATTGTTACGTTATGAGAGTGCTCTGATACTTGTTTGATTCTGAAATGGTATATATATATATTTGTGTGTATAAATCCACATCTGCCTGTTATTGTCTCATTATACCGCACTGTGAATGAATTACAAGTAAATATATAAGTCGTCATGAACACATCTGTCCATCAGACAGAGGGCTGCTGTGCCTCCTGTCATCATTAATGGACGTCTCTTTAAAATGACCGCTCAGAGGAGAGGATTTCTAAGTTCTCTAACCGCCTGCTGCTTCCCCTCCTCTCTCCTCCGCTCGCATCTCCTGTGGGCGGGACTAAGACGCAAGGATAGGAGTCGAGGACAGGAAATTAGAAATCAGAAAGGTCTAATGACTGAATATTGAGGCCAGAGGCCTGTACTACGAAGCCGGATTTTCGCTTAGCGAGCTAACTTCAGGGAAAACTCGGGGTTTCCGGTCCTACGACGCTGGTTCTCTTTTTAGCGGGCTAGATCTCCATGGTAACTTATGCTGAGCGGCTAACCTGCTCCGGAGCAGGGGCCTGTACTACGAAGCAGGATTTTCGTTGAGCAAGCTAACTTCAGGGATTTCAGGTCCTACGAAGCTGGTTCACTTTTTAGCGGGCTAGATAACTTATGCTGAACGGCTAGCCTGCTCCGGAGCAGGATAGGTTCCGGGGCTGAAGTCGAATAGTCCATTTAGCTTAGGAACCTTCCTAACGGAGTGAAATGACCCGGAAGTCCCTCAGTGGCAGCCATGATAAGTGCCGTTCAAATTCTCTAGTCTAGATGATAGGAAAGGAGTTTTCAAACTTTCTTTATAACCTCCTTTAGCTTAGGAACCACTGGACCTCCCTTGACGAAAGGAGAGGAGAAAATGCTGCCCTGCCTTGCAGCCGCAGCATTTGCCGATTATGACTTGGGTTGCGGTCAGATAATCCAAAAATCAGCTCCTAACGTCTAACCCTATTGTTTATTCCTTGACCTCTGAGTGAAACGTCATGGGGTTAAGGGATAGTCGATAGGAGAATTCAAAAGGACTTAGGAGAAGAGACTGCGGTACTTTAGAGAATCCGACTGCACTTTCACTATCCGACGTGTTTATGATGCGCCAGCGGAGGTCATAAATGTGCGTCTGCTGCTGTGGGGAAACTATGGAAACTACAGTTTTCTATACAGCGGACTACAACATGGATGTTTAATAAGAACGAGGGACTACTGTAAACTCATCTAGAGACTCTGCACCGTGCTCTGATGCTGTTGTTTTATGCTTTATGAACGGGGACAACAGAGAAACATATTCTTCATGACCAAAGTTGGAATTGAAATAAAAAAGGAAAGTGAAACTTATGCTCGTCACCCTCTCCCTCCGGTACACATTAATACAAATGATCCCAGTGTTTTTGGTAACTGTGGCCAAACACTCGTTGGGTTTTATGGGGGGGGGTGTTACGTGCCGTAGTGTGTGTCGGTGTGGGGTACGAAGGGGAGTAACAAAACACAGAACGACCAGGCACGAGAAAAAAGAGAGGAAACTGATCTCTTTTTTCACAAAATTAGATTTAATCCACCAATGATAGATAAACAGGTCCCACACAGAGACCAAGACGCCGTGCTGCACCCGTGCAGCCAGAGGAGAAAGAGAGAGGCCACTGCAGACTTCCTCAGGTCCTTTAAGGAAGGCCCTGATCGATTGGGAGCACCTGGGAGAGAGGCTGCACCTGGAGACAATCAGGCTGCACCTGGAGAATCAGAGGGAGAGAGAGAAACACACACTACGGCACGTAACACCCCCCCCCCATAAAACCCAACGAGTGTTTGGCCACAGTTACCAAAAACACTCAGACTATTGGACATGAATCTTGAAATCTCACCCACGGGACAGTACATCGGCCAAACTCACACTTTGCCAGATTCACTGTTAGCGAGGCTCCTGCAAGTCGCTTGCGAAAATCGGTGCAGAAACGCGGTGTTCCGTCAGATTTAGGAGCAAGCAAACATGGACTGCTCCAGGGGCTGCGGCTAGGCTTGGCTAAGCCATTTTCAAGCAGATAATCCACTTCCTTTTTCATTTTCTCCCTTTTCTCTATGTGACAACGATACGCCAGGTTAGACTCTAAGCTCAACATAAACTCAGAGTTCGATAACCTACCACACTGCTGACCACCAGAGGGCACTATCAAATCATCCTCAACCATCGACAATGCACAGGCTAGGGAAGTGGCCACGCTGGGAACAGCAGTCACCACAGTGCATTGCTGCTTCCCCTGGGAGGCTTCCCTAGCATGATAGGACTTAAGCATGTTAACATGGCACAACCTTGTTTTTCTCCTACGCTCAGGTGTGTCAATGATATAGTTGGTGTCAGACACTTGCCTTACAACCACATACGGACCTGAGAAACGCGCGTTGAGAGCAGATCCGGGTGTAGGCAGCAACACCAGCACCTGCTCACCAGGCTGAAACTGCCGCTTAACTGCTCTCCTATCGTACCTGTTCTTCATGTTTTCCTGCGAGGATGCAAGAGCTTCCCTTGCTAGCTTAGTCGCCTGTTGTAAACGCTCACGACACTGGGACACAAACTTCTTCACATCAGTTTTCGGAAGGGACTCAGACATCAATTTATCTTTCAGCATCTTTAATGGGCCACGCACATTGTGTCCAAACACTAGTTCAGCTGGGCTAAACCCAATAGACTCCTGCTTTGCATCACGAATAGCAAATAACACGAAGGGAACACCCTCATCCCAGTCCCTGCCTGTGTCATGGCAGTATTTACCAAGCATCGACTTCAATGTCTGATGCCAACGCTCAAGTGCCCCTTGTGATTCTGGATGGTAGGCACTAGACACTGAATGGGAAACACCCAATGACTGCAAGGTTTGTCTAAAAATCTTGGAAAGGAAGTTAGTTCCCTGATCAGTCTGCACAACCTTCGGCAACCCAACGGTGGTAAAAAACTTGGTCAGTGCTTTAATGATGGCGGGTGCAGTGATTTTACGCAAAGGGATAGCCTCAGGGAAACGGGTCGATACACACATCACAGTCAGCAAAAACTGATTACCTGCCTTGGTCTTCGGCAACGGACCGACACAGTCAGCAATGATATGGTCGAAAGGCGCACCTCCACACCTCCACGCTGATTTTCCTTCTGGCAGAATCTACACAACACATCAGCCCCATTGAACAGCCTATCATGCAGCCTATACAACACATGGGGGGCAGAGTTTTACTCTGTGTGTTGCAACTTGCATATATATTTATTGCACTTGACGCACACACGCATGGCGTAATTACCACCTGGGACAGGGGGGAAATGTCCCCCGCTCTTTTCGAAATCCCGTTTGTGTCCCCCCACTTTACAAATATGTTTATTATTATTTTTTAACGCAAGTAAAGCCGTCGATCGCCACGGAGGAGCACACAGCCTCTGTGAGCGAGCGAGACAGAGAGAGAGAGAGAGAGAGAGAGAGAGAGAGAGAGAGAGAGAGAGAGAGAGAGAGAGAGAGAGAGAGAGAGAGCGAGAGAGCTAGGGAGGGAGGGAGGGAGGGAGGGAGGGGAGAGGGGGAGAGAGAGAGAGCGAGAGAGCATACCTTTATCTATTTAATATAGATAAAGTAAGAAATCATTCCAATGTGTATAGGATAGTAAAAAAAACAAAAAACAGTTTGAAAGGGGAGTGATTAGTAAAATAAGCATAAATAAAAAGAAAGAATGCTAACTAGGAAACATAAGATAAGAATAAACCAGTTTAAATGATTTGTTATTGGTTGTGATCATATTCTAAAGATGTTTGGATTATTGAAAAGTATACAGCTCTCTTTCATCTGAGTGTTGAGAGCTGTTTCCATCAATTCATGTTGTGCTCAAAGTGCTCCAGATTGATGCATTTCACTTCAACATTAAAAATAATCTTCCCCGGGGTGCATGCCCCCGGACCCCCCTAGAGGAGGTGAGGACCCCCCTAGAGGAGGTAAGGCCCGTCCACCCCCAAATAAAGCAGGTTAAAATAATTAAATTGCATACATGTTCTTTTAGTAAACGCTGAAAACGGGTCCCACAGACCCAAACAGCACACAAAGGTTAAAGGTCAGCATATCATAATGTTAAAATGTGCTAAATATATACACTGCAAAAAAAAAAAAAAAAAGAGGAGTAAAAGTAGCCCCCGACTTGTTTTATTTTTAAAAAGTAGCCCTCATCCTAAAAAAGGTTGGTGACCCCTGCTCTAGAGAATTTGAACGGCACTTATCATGGCTGCCACTGAGGGACTTCCGGGTAATTTCACTCCGTTAGGAAGGTTCCTAAGCTAAATGGACTATTCGACTTCAGCCCGAGAAATGATATCATGAAAGTTACGGTGCTTATTAAGCATTTTAAAACGTATGTGGTAACTTGCCAAAGTGCTTTGTTTTGAACGTTCATCAGTATTATAATCAAAAAGAGTAATTTGAACGTTAGTTAAAGTGGACCTATCATGCTATATTTGAATAATATATTGTAGGGCCATACCTATATAAGGTATATTTATACGTTTTCTTTTTCAAAATATCAAACAGATCATGCATTTTAGCCATGCCTCATTTCACTCTATTTTGCTCTCCTCCACCCTGTCTTTGCATGCGCTGCAGCTGACCACGCCCCCCTGCAAAGGAGGGGGCCGAGTTACGAGCGTCGTGTTACCATGCTGTTACCATGCCACGGCAACCTCTCATTCCCCTGATAGGTCAGCTCCGCCGTCCTGACGCCAGAGG